GGAGAGCTGCGCAACCGAATCATTGAGTGTTGGGGAGAAGGGCTGGAACAACGTAACATTGCCAATTCTATCGATTCTTGGCGTAGACGTTTAGCATGGATTGTTGAGGCCCACGGAGAGCATATCGCCTCTTGCCCCTTCAATGTGTTTACCTTATTTTTTAAAATTTATAAATAAAAATATTGGTCGTATTGTAAGAAAACTTAACGCTAATTTTTTCAAAATTAGCTATGTTAAAGGAACTGGGAAATCTTTAATTTTTTCTCAACAGTCAAATTCTTCATTTCGAATCCTTATCCTATCTATTTATCTTTCGAACAAGTCCGAAATAGAAAAAATATGTCGAGTAGAAAAAAAAAATCTAGCTGAAATAGCATATCTTAGATATTGCTGTCAACATAAAAAATTGAAATTCGATATTACAAAAAATTCAATATTTCACTTAGTTTTTAACCGATTTTTTCTGTCAAGGTCTTAAAATGTTTGCAAAATAATGAACTTTAAGAATTTATTAAAAAAACTTATACCGGGTGTCACAAAAAAGTTCCAGCGCTATCCAAAGCTAGGCAATTTTTGAAGGAGTCCGCCATTTTGGATTTTTCTCAAATGTCAACAGTTTCACTCTGATTCGTTAGCCTGTTCATTTCTCTTTCAAACAAGCCAAAACAAAAGAAAATTGGTCAACAAATAAAAAAGTTACAGCTCAAAAACAAAATTCCGGTTTTTTTTGGACCTCCCTATATAACTATTTCTATCCAATTTTTGCTACGACTATCAAATATTTGACTAAATTAATAAAACTCTTCTAGAATCGAGCCATTATTTGGCTAAATCTATAAAATAAGGAGTAAATCAAACAAATACCTATAAGTTTTTTTAAAGGTTTTGGCTATTTGAGTTATTTTTCATTTGAAAATATTTTAGTGTGTGGTGTTTTGTGGAAGGAAGAACGTCTCTCCTGTTTATGTGTAGTGCACGCCGCACCCGGTCCACAGAAAAAACTTGTCTAAGTTGTCTTTGTTTATTTGTTCGTACTCTCACACCCGTACTCGTAGTGTCACGCAGTGCTAACTGGCAATAATAAATTATTGAGTTTTGGGGCGGTTACACACGGACGTGGATGTCTTAACACATATACGTGCATACATCAACGTGCAACCAAGAACGTGCATGGCGCTTTTGTACACACGCTCGTACAAAACTGCAGTCTTGCTATTCTTGCTACAGTGTTCCGAGTGTGCATACAAAATTGCACATTCAAAAACGCGACGATATTTTGTATACACATTGATGTTTTTGTTTGCACGTTTATGTATGTGCGTACATGTTTTCAGACATCCACGTCCGTGTGTAACCGCCCTTGTGAGTGATATTTGTGATATTTGTTTCTTTATGGGAGAGAAATTGAAATTTCCAGTAGAAACGAACATTTCATCTGTTTTTTTTTTTGTAAAAAAAACCTACTATTAGAAACGAACATTTCATCTGTTTTTTTTGTAAAAAAAACCTACTAATAACATAGGGTGTTACGGAGTTGTGTTGGAATTGTGTTTCTCATTTTTATATTTTTAATTTGGTTCCTATAAGCTGATTAATTTGCTTTTACACTAAAGACTTATAGCCGTATGCAACATCATCTTTTAATTTTGAAAGCGCTTTTAGCCTATTTTGTCACTTTTGAAAATTTATATTCTTAAGCAATTGACTTTCAAAGTCGCTTTTAAAGTTAAAAGAGGATGTTGCATACGGCTGTGATTATTTTCTTATTATCTATAAACTATGGGGTAAAAATTGTATTCCTTTTGAGGAGGTTATTTAGGTTAAGTTAGTAGTAGTAGGAGATAATAATAATTTAGTATTCAATATTTTAAACGGATGCAGAATAAATAATAATTAAACCGAAACCTCATTTTATTGTTACTATTTCCCCACCACCACCGCTAATTACGAAAATCAATTGGCCAGCAATCAAATATTGAATGCAAATAATCAAAAGATTTGATAAGTTGCACTCAATTATTAGATATATATCATCAAAATATTGCAAGAAGTAATCAAATTATTTGAATAATTTTATCCTAATTATTCGTAAATTTGCTATCTTTCGTCATATCTTTTTCTAAAATCAATCATATATTTAGCAAATATTATCTACAATTAACTTGAACTGATCCAAAAATTGCTTGATACTATTCAACACTTAGCTAAATTCAAGAATATATAAATTATATTCAGGAATATCATAGGCAAATTAAATTTTATTTTTGCTAATAATAATCAAATTTTGGTTGTTATTTATTGGAACTCATTTGCTGCTACTTATCATGGTTTGACATATTTTAGCAGATTTTAGCTTAACAAGTAAAACAATCGAATCATTTATTGATATTAATCTAAATTTAGATTGGCGCTATATTGATCAAAAATTTGATTGTAATACTACCCTACTGGATTAATAGTATCCAAAATTTCTTTCCGTGTTAAGTTTAAACAAAAATTCTCTCATTTTAACTGACTGCCACCTACAAACTACGCGCTTTATATATGAAACAATTCAATCGAGAAATCTCTAAAATTCACGTAAATGTATGCATATTTGAATCACACAATGGAATTCCGGAATATTCTTGTTCCGATCATACCAGTGGCGAGTTGATTCTTGCGATAAAAAAAAGTAGTATGTACAAAAATTATTAACCCCAATTTGAGCTCCCGGTGTAACATACAAAATTTCGACACTAAATGAACATTTCAAAATATGTTGAGTTCAGGCAATGACATATTCTCGGTTAAAAACGGGTGAAATAATGCCAAAGTAATGTAATCTGAAGCTATCTAGGTTAAAAACTTGTCGAAAAATGCCAAAAATATGTAATTTTTGGTTATGAATTAAATTAATGTAACAGGAGATTTTGGAGATTTTTCTTGTACTAAATGAGACAATATTTTGAAAGGTTTTTGTAAAATTATATGTACATATATATCAACGTTTGTTTCCACAAATTATTCAATGATAACTAAACTTAATTTAGGTCTAATAAACGATAAAACCCTGAGTCTTATAGTTACAAAATTGCATGGCTTTATGTTGTCTTGTTCTTAGCTGTACCTGGTAAAGCTGCCGTCGTTGTTGATCCCCATAATGATGCTCTAACGGTTAGAGCATCCTAACGCATCAAAAATCGCACTATAATTTTGACGCTCTGATGCGATGCTACAACCAAATGTGTAGCCATCCATGTCATCAGAGCTTCAACTATTTGCCATTGCAACAGTCTCGAACTGATGCATGGACATTGCTCCAAACTACTATTTGACCATCGTAGGGTAGTGGCTTAACTTCAATACCGATTGCAGAGATTTCATGATTTCAAATTACATCCAAAACTTTTAGGTTTCTTCTGAACAATATTAATTTCTTGGCGAAAGGTTCCACCTTCCTGACCAAAAGTTCCAATTTCCTGATGAACTGTGCCAACTTCCTGACGAATCCTTGCAATTTCTTCACGTAATTCATTGCATTCTTGAACTTCCAGAATTTTCTCGAGTCTGATTTGTTCCTCAGTGATTAAGGTTTGGATTTATGCTTGCTAAAATTCACAATATTCCAATATTCTTTTTCTTGCCTTTTTTCGGTCTTTGGTCTTCCTCTTTTTGTTTTTCTCTTTAAATACTGTACCCCAATAAACGTGTCTCTCCTTTAAAATCTCCAGACATACAGGCGACTTGAAAAGAATATTCATAAAACAGTTATGAATAGTGTTCCATTATAAAATCAAATAAAATGTTTATTTTATGCCCACCGTGTTCTGTGTTAAGAGGCAGAGCTTGCGCGCAATAACTCGGAAAAGGGCATTATTGATCCAATTATTCCTACTGCCTACAGTGCCTACTATCAGTAATATCACGGCAAGGAAGCAAAAACAAAACATTTAATGCCGCCATTACCTCTAGGTTCTAATACCGACAGAGCTGTTCAAGATCTGTACATGAAGAAAGATTTAAATCAGAAATCTTTTTTGTATTTGAATCATTTTAGGAAAGGTTCAAATCTTCACAAAACATTTAAATTTTTTCAAAAGATTTAAATATTTTCGATGGTTTAAATCACCTAAAAGTGATTTAAATCGTTTTGTAATTTTCCAACAATAAAGACTACTTAGGACTTGATAATTTGAAAAAATATATCAGAAAACGTAAAAAAATGATGTCAAAAAATCTGAAATTTGGAAAATCTTATATGTAATATGAAATATGTAAAAAAAAAACAGCAGTGATAACCATACTGAAAAGTTATTTTTTTTAGGATACAAATAACGTTTGATAATACTATGCTTGAAATTTAAATTGAGATCTTTATTTTGCAGATTTAAATCTTTTTGTAGATTCAAATAATTTCAGAAATAATTAAAGTGTTCTAAAAAGATTTGAATCTTTAAAATGATTTAAATAATTTTAAAAACATTTAAATCTACTTTTTAAATAAAAAATCAAATATACTTTTGAGAAAAATTTAAAATATAAATCAAAAATCATTTTCTGAAAAAAAGATTCAAAATCAAAGTACCTATTTAAATCAAAAAAATGTATTTAGATCAAAAATATGATTTAAATCCCACATATAGTGACAGCTCTGAATTAATACAGAATCAGTTCCAGAATTAGCCACAGAAAATATCTAGTTCCCGTTACTTTTGATCCGCCATGCCATATACCTATTTTAGTATATCATGTCAATATATTAGGTACTACGTCCGAAAGAAAAACTTTCAGTGGATATCTTATTGTTTCAAAACAGTCAGAGAATTGATTATTAATTGGTTCCAACAAATAAAACACGAAAAATAAAATATAATCTCACCATAGGTATAGAATTTCCCAAATTTCTCGACAGTCTACTTTCCCTTGTTAATCAGATTCACCTGTTCGTATTGATTAATGACTTTTTTTTTCATAAGATGTTCAGATTTTGTTTTTAATTTGAATTATAATTGTTTCAGACTAACTCTACCTCCACTCCAAGCTGATTATTGGGCAAAGTTGAACCTCAAATGACCGAAGATAATAATTATGATTCCAAGATGTCGAAAATAAGTAACAACAACAGGACGTCTCTGGAAGAAATGTGTTCATTACAAAACGGATCTAAAGAAAACAATGAAGCACCATGCGAACATACATCACTAACAGCACTGCCCGATGCCTATGACGATGTTGATGATAAGAATCACAAAGAAAACCTATCCAATGGCTACGTCACAACGCATAGTGATAGTGAAGACGAGAGCGAGACTAAGTGTGGATGGGGTCCATGTTCACCCAAATGGCTTAAAATGTTTGCATCAAAACAGGTGATTCTTTTCGCTTCCAAATTTAAATCAATCAAAGTTCCACCTTCTTTTATATCTTTATAGTCTTTATGCGCAAGATGATTTTAGTAAAATAAGGTTTTCAATATAAATATGTATGTAGGCAGCGAGTCTGTAGGTACCTTACTAGTGGTTTTCAAAAAGTGTTTCAACACGTTAAAACATTTAAGTTTTCTCACTTGGATTTGAGGCAATAAATTCAGATTTAGTAGAGTAGAGTTGAGTTGTATCTCAACATTGAAATACGAATAGAGAAGCCTTTTTTTTTTAAGGTGAGTGAGTTATAGGATAGGATTTTAACAAAACTTCCTGGTGCGTTGGCGGACATCCGATAAGAAATAGGGGTGATTTCATGTGGGCAATTTGCCGCAATATAAATTTTTCAAAGTTTATGCCGCGAGAAAAGTATTATAGGAGAAATATCAATCCCGTTACGAGCACTTCATCTTTCTTGACATCTGTGTTAAACCAGCTTAAACTGCTCTAGAAGATGTTACTTATGGTGAATTATATGTACCTACTTAAATAGTTTATGTCAATAAACGTAAATTGACGGATTTTTATTAATTAAATGTACGATTTTGTTCTTCTTGGTGCCTATGAAACAAATAATTTTTGCTTGCCTCGCTATATTTTCTTAAAGGAATTTATGCCCAAAAGCCTCTGTTAAAACAAAAAAATTATACAAAATCTTATTACGAAACAAGTAAATATACATTTATGAGATGTGACAGCAGTGACAGCCGGCAGGTTATAGCCAGTGTGACTTACCAAAATTTATTCATGCGTTTCAGTGTACGTGGTCTTCGAGAACACAAGGTAGGTTCTCTCCCATACCCGGAAGCAGCTCTAGTACCAGTTAAGTTCCGACTTTTGACATAATATCTTTTGATGTACAAAAATGTGAAAAAAAATACATATCAAGGAACGTTTCTCAAATTTAGCAGTTTTCGGTTTTAAGGGCCCCACACACTACGTTTTTTCTCGTCGGTTTTCATCGTTGCGATTAACAACGTCGTGCTTCATCGTCAGCCTGTTTTCACCTCACACTACGCGATTTTTTGGCAGTTGGACCCACATACAACAGTTTTGGAACGAAATGTTAAATCGTCGTGCCAAAAATCAAGCTCGGACTGAATTTTAAACCGACGATGAGACACGACGCGACGGTTTTCTACCACACACTTCGGTTTTAGATCATCGTGTTTCATCGCGGCGATGAAAACCGACGAGAAAGAACGTAGTATGTGGAGCCCTTTACAGTGTGCCGTCCTTTCGGTCTTCCGTGAATATTAAAGAACGCACCTTATTTTGTGTACACAGGGTTTTGTGCAAAAATGTTCAAGTTCAACTGATGCGTGGCACCGTGAGGTATTGTGGGTGTTTTAGTGGTAAGTAGTAGTTTTTTTTGAATCGGTTTCTGTTCCATGTGAGCGTGCGTTCTTGATGATTATGATGATCGGATTTACACAGGTCTTTGGAGGCATGCATGACGGGTAAGTTGAGGGCTCCGGTGCACTTTAGGTACCTACCTCAATACTATAAAATTAGCAGGTCTGCAGAAAAAAGCGAGGATGAAATTTTTTTTATTTAAAAATACGTCCATTAGCCAAAGCCGGTATAGTTGAATTTATTCCATTACACACCTTTACAAGATTTCGTAAGTATATGTACATATAGGTACATAATTAAATATTGAACAATTTTTAATATGAAACAATTCAATAATTATCATTATTATTCTCATTTTTCAATTTCTACAATTTCACTGTATCATATATTTTGTGAGGGAGGTTGTACCTCTGGAAGCGGCAACACAGTAAAAAAAAGTCCTCTCGAAGGAAGTTTAGTTCATCACACATTATTAAAAATTAACCAATCTATATATATAAAAATCAAAGTTCACGGGGTATCCGGGTATGCGCTCCTACACCACTTATCTGATTACGAAGAAACTTTGGTAGATTGTTATGGCCATCCTAAGGAAGGTTTGTGGATAGGTTACGCATCTCGGAAAAATAAATTAATTTTGAATTAATTATTAATTTAATTGTGAACAAACTCATTCACATTACATAACAACAAAGCCCAACTTTTTTTTTGACAGTATGAAAGGCTTGCCATTCAACCGACGTAGCTTTATTATTTTTTGAATTCGAGAACGGCTGGACAGATCTTGAATTCAATACCACGTGTCTCTATATAAGCTGAATTCGATTGACCCAGATTAGATGGATTTGGGTTCAATTTAAGTGAACTTCTTCTGATCTAGATCATTTTTTTGTTAATGAGAGTGCACTGATCCAGCCTCAATCGAACACAGTGTGGTTCACTTAAATTGAACCAGATCGATCTAATCCGGTTAATCGAATTCGGCTAAAGAGGGGAGTGCTATAAGCTATTTTTCATCCGGAAAAAAAAAGTTCGGTTGCGCGAAACTCTGATACACTGGAACGCCTATAAACAACCCGGGGCACTCTAGAACAGCTCTGGAGTGCTTAAAATGCGTCACTGAACTCACTGGCAAGCGACTCTGGTATCGGATAAAAAAAATAAAATAAAATTAAATAGAAAATCAACAACAAAATTTGAAAAAAAGTGTATTATTTCAAAATGTATTTTCACGCTGGCAACGCAGCGGGTCATTAGCTAGTTTCATATATAAAAAACATTATCCGTGAAAAAAAGCATATCTATTGAGATTTTTTGCTGTTAAGCTGTACTACACCCTACACCTACACAATTCCTTCGTTCGTGAATTTTGAAATTTTCAATAACATTGAGAGAATCAAAAGTGCACCAGACCCTAAGTTGAGTATGCCTGGAATCCTAGGCATACTTAATTGTTCATGTGTTCCTATTTCAGAAGCTGTTTTCCATTTGTTCAAATTGATGAGAACTTCGGAACTTTGCGCCCTTGATGGCTTCTACAGTAGGTTTTTTACTGGATATGGTTCCAGATACTGCGATGGTATTTTTGCTGCATATGAAGTGTCAAGCTTTTAGAGTCTCATAATTGGTGGGTCATGCAGCTTGTGCAGGTACATGAAATAAAAAGTGTAAGTATCATCTAGCATTAATTGCTCAATATCTAGTTATTACTATATAAATTTAAAAAGTATATTAACTTATGCTCTTTTAATCTTATTTGTGTAGACAAATGTAATTTATTGCTTGGTACCTACTTTGGTTCCCCATAGTACCTTTATTAAGTAATTTAATACACAGAGAAACCCCTAACAAGTTGATGAGTAGGTATAATATGTAATACTTGAACTATAATAGCAAAATGAAATCAAAGTGAAATCTTATTTTAATAATAGTAGTTAGTATACTTAAGAAATTTAGTTGTAATATTTTATAATTTTCTCCAACGTTATTGGAATTCTTATTGACTCCCTGTTTAAGTTTATTCGATAACTGTAGCGGGTACTTAAGTGCCTGAATTTATATGGGTAGATCCTGCTGGTATTAATTATATAATCGATTGTTCTAATTTAAATCAATAATGTTATAATTTTTTTTTTATTGCCCCTAAATTAATTGAAATCCATTTAGTCGCATTTCTGGGGCGGATATAAACTGGGCTCTAACCTACCTGCATTTTTATTTTTGTATGTAATGTGGCACCAGCCAAAAATGCACCTGCGAAGCGTATATGTAAATTGGACACTACATTAATTTAAATAATAAAAAAGAGATCTTAGTTTTTCTTTCGTGCGAGTGTCTAACTTTCGCTAGTGTATGTACCTACACTTTGAATTTTAACTATTTGAAATTGCTCAAGCTTTCCGATAAAAATATAAATAGATGGTGTGGATTAAAACGATTCATTTAGTTTCAGGTGACAAGATTCGCATGTGTTTGTGGTGCTACTGATCGATGAGGTATTTTCCAACCTCTTCTGAATGAATTTGATTTCTCGGCAAACACATGTTTTATGCGTTGATTTTGATCATAATTTAAAATCCTTGTTTCTCCGGAATCAATTTTCCTCAAAGCATAAGGGGGTTGTGGGATGGGAAGTTATATTTATTCGGAAGCTTGCCAACGTGATATCATTACTGAGGCTTAAATAACACAATGTACATAATTTGCCAGGGGTATAATGAAATAATTGAAAATAACTATAATTTTTTCGGTTGATTTGATTTATGCAAGAAATATCCCTTATTCAAATGCATTCAATTATTGTAAAAATTAGTTTTTTGTGGGTTAACTCCAGTTCGAATCATTTTGTTGAGTTTCTTTGGGACAAAGGAGAAATAGTATTTGATTCTATATTTTCCTCAGTATATTTCAGTCAGGATTTTTCTTACGATTATTCTCTTTTCTTTTAGGGTTACAATAACAACATTGGGAAGCAGGCAACGCCAACAAGTGACAAGATAAGCTATGTAAAGCAAAAAAGCTCTTTGATAGAAGTGAATTGTTCTGATGATGCCAATTGAATGATGGTTCATCCTGGAATTTCTTCATGTACAGAGGGAATGATTCCAACATTTACAAGTGAGCGGCTCTACATTAAAATTAGAGAACCTGGAGATAACGGACTGGAGTGTATTTAAAATTAGGAACTATGAATTGTTTAAGGGTTTAATGCATGAGTACCAAATCATGTAATTGAAATATACGTTGAATCAGTAGAATTTGCAAGGTTTTTTATTTCACTTTCATTTGATGATTCAAGGGATAAATGATATGCGGTGTCTAATGGACTTTGTACCTTAATAGTTCCGGATCTTGTACAACGATTTCAATTTGGACCAAGTAGCAGGTTTAATGTGGACAGCTTTATGAATACTTGTAGATATTTCACGCCAGAGAAATCTTATTGGCATAATTATGTAACTGCGTGAATAAAGTTCACAGTGACAGGGTAGCTGGTAGATACATTTCATAAGGTAGATTTTCGAAAGTAGTGTTTGGTTTGGTTTAGTGATGATGTACGTTTCCTCTGAAATGATGATTGAATTTGCTGTAAGGCAGCTCGTTGTTGCTAATACATATGTTTTCGACTGTGCTACCTTAAGTAAGTTTTCTAGCACAATCTGTACCTGAATAAAATCTGCAGAAAATCCAAACATGAAACCGAGTTTGCCTCAAACGGGCTCATATTTGTGTAGTACAATGCCTCTGAAACTTGTTCAATGGTTTTATTCCTGAGGTGTAACTCAATAAAAGGCACGTCGTTTATTCGGTCGGATAGAATTATGCGTCTTGCATTTCAACTTTACGTTGGTCTTTCGCGCACAATAACGTAGTCGATGAGATGCCAGTGCTGTGATCTTAGATGCTGCCACGTTGCTTTCATCTTATTCTTGTATAGAAAGTGAGCATCTGTTATGATAAGATCGTGCTCTGAGCATTTGGTCAGTAGAAGTTTTCCATTTGAGTTGATGTTCTGTGAGTTGGCTCCCACCTGCACGGTTTCCCTTGATGCTCTATCTCTCCAGCTCAGATGTCACAACAGCCGTTCTCTGTTGACGTATGTTAATATTGTCAACTAGCTGCTTAGGAAAGGAGGACCCGGTATTTAACCTTATTAATTTAATTGCCGATTCGATCGGATGTTTATTGCAATTCAGCAATAAATTGATATAAATTGCGTTGCAAGCCGCAGCAAAGGCAGACTTAAACCAGTGCAAGTACCTCTCGTTGGAAAAGCCCCTCTGGAATTAAGTCTCCCCAGTGCAAGCACCTCTCGTTGGGAAAGCCCCTCTGGGTATCTTCAGCCTTATCGTTGTCCAGTGCAATTTCCTCTCGTTGGGAACGCCCCTCTGGACAAGGCATAAGGGTGACGATAAACTAATCTACAGTCTCCCAAGCAGTGTTGACGTGTGGCTCCCTATAAGGACCCCAGTGTTCGAAGGGTCATGCATCTTATAGGGTTAGCGTACATGTAAGGACATATTTGGGAAAAATATATATCTATATTTTTATATAACCTGAGCGAGTTTCTCTCTATCAACCCCCAAAGCTACAAACCCCCCATGTCACCCCCGTAAAGCGGGCAGTTGTGACAATATTGTTAGTGTCAGTTCAGTTGTGTGTGCTCTTTGTACTTCGATTGCATATGGTGTGTCTTTTGGATGCGGTAATTCAGTAAAGGAGGGGTTACGCTGCATATTTTCAGGGCACGTTTTCTAGCCGCCTCTCTAAGTAGGATGACCAGAGTAATTCCTTGATAGGGCTGCTCAGTCGCAGATGCATCATACGAGTTTCATAGCCTCAATTCCATGAGAAAAGCGGCAATCACGCACCTGCTGCCTTCTAGCCGGTTTGTCACTAAGAGCTTCCAGAATGACCCTATCCTTATCATAACTTACCGATAGCCGCAGGACTTTGCTGCCTTGTGTTGTCCTTCGAGAGGCGTGAAGTTTTTGAACGCATGAATGTTGCTGGACTGGAAATCCCAAAGCTGTTGACTTGATCATATAAGTAGATAAGCCGCTCCTAAAATAAGATCAGATGTTTCCTGACTGCATAGATTCTTACGCTAATTTTCATAGCCGATGACCTTCGTAGGAATCTCGTAAGGTAGGACTACCAACCTTTTAGTCACCTTTCATGGCAGTTCTAGTTCTAGCCCTTGCAGGTATTACTTTTTTGGAGGTGAATAAATATGACGGAAGAATCCCTCAATTATCAGGAACGAGGATCTACATATGTATTTGTAAGGTTTGTCACAACGGACATAAGGTGAGATACTTTTTAAGGTCATCGCTGTTGATGTATCCTCGTTTTTGTTGTTTTTTTTATCTTGACTATATATGCGTCGCACACTCGGTTTTGGAAAAATATACTGAATATTTTAGATTCCCTTGTTGAATCATGTTTTTTTCTGGAGTCCCATGCCATGTTAGGTTTGTATTGATCCAGCTTATCGGATACTTTAGTGGTTACCTGGTAGAGAGTCGGTTGGTCCAGAAGGGGCTACGGCGTGGTTCTTCTTGGTCAAGGGGAGAAATAACTCTTGTTTGATTATAGATTCGTTTGATCCATTAATGGTTCCCAAAGTCATAATATGCGTCGATACTTGTTGGTGCTGGGGAGCAGTCGCGGGGTTCACTTTTTGTTGGCTCCAAATAAAATAAAGTTAGACGGGCGGCGGATGAAAATGCCTACCTACCTACCTCATATTTCGTGAAGTCACCCTCAGAATTTAGACGTCCTGGATTTTTTAGTTTAAAAGTCCTCAAGCGGCCAAGAAAACCATTATTTAACACATCTAGGTAGATACAAGTTGACAGTGGAAATCAAGCACAGCCTCCTCCCACTCGAATAAAAGAGAAAGTCTAACACAAAATATAGGAAAATACGTACAAAAATTAAATTGGAAGAAAGTGAAAATTTAATCAGAGATTGCGATACAAAGAGAATCAATAAATTTGATTATACTACTTACATGCCGTGAATCCTTATTGAGTACTATTCACTTATAACTCGATTGAATTATTGAACATCAAATCTTCGCAAGTCAGCAAATATTGATTCTACCTTCTAGAAAAACCAATTTTGATAAAATGCTGCTTTATTTAAAGTTTAAAAATTCTGTAGCATTAGAATATAATATTTCCTACAAAGTAAAAATAACCAACCAATAGGAACGGATATATCCTAACTTATCATTATTTTCACGATACCGCCGACGCACAGGAAAACTTTGTGAATTCGGCCACCTCCTTTGACTTTCAGTCGTTGATTGATTCAACTCAAAAAAATGGCTTGTTTATCCGTTTTGTAGATATTTCTTATTTTGTTTTTTTTTTTTCAATTTTTCTGGGTTTTTTTAAACATTTAAAACTATCTTTCTCGATTTTCAGGCTAAGACGTTCGCATTCTTGATATTATTTGATTCAAATTCGCATATATTACAAATTAATAAATTTTATGGATTCTCATATTTTTTTAGATTTCTACGTTTGCTTAATCTGTTCATTGAAATTTTATACGTTGACCTTAAAAAAGCAATCAAGTATAATTCCACTTTTGCTTCTACCTACTTAAAAATAAGTGAGGTGACAAAAGTACAATTTTATTTCATCTAAAATTAGGCCATCTTGATCCTAAAGTTTCTAATCCTGACTCAATTTCTAGTTTATCGGACCGGACCTACTCCAAATATTGAATTTATAATTTTCAGATTGTCAAAAATATTTTAATTTGTTGAAATTATATTTTTACTATTGAAACCAAACGATGTTGTTTGAACCAAATTTCCTTTTTTTTCCAACTTAAAAGTTTAATTTCCTTGGACCCTGTTTATTCATCTACAAGATAAATTTACCGTTCTATAATTCTGTTGGTTGGCGAATAACTGGTCGACTAATAGAAGGTATTACAGATTGCGTTTTTATCTGTCAGATTGCATACTTGACAGTTTATCGGAAGATGAATAAACCGGCCCTTAGACTGTAGAGACGAGGTAGTTTAGTTTTCAAAACTGATATCGATTTTTAGAGTCTGTACTGGGAAACGGTTGGGGTTTCGATGTTAGAGTCTGAAAAAGTTGAGCAATTTGACTATCTTTTACATAAAGTTTGGGCTTTCTATTTCCGATTTCGATTTTTTTTTTTGAAAAAAGTAAATTTTTCGATTTTGGCTATTCTTTATTTCTGACCTTATTTTGAAAGATATCAAAATAAAAAATTCCATTGTTACATCTTAGGCTCAACAAGATGGCGTTCACATTTTTCCTTATTTAAACATTGTAACTACAATCGTTTCCCAGATTCTTAGACACACTGTACCCATATTGAAATGTCGGCGTCTTTGACAATAATGTTTTCAAAAATTAATTTTTTTAGTTTAAAATGTTGTATTAAAATTGAAAACCCAATCGTTCTCTACAAATGTTTCAAGCATAATAAGTTTATTTATGACCGAGTTAATGACCCTGTTTTACCAATTTTTTAGGTGTTCCTGGCAGTGTTTTGTATGGCATGGGTACTACAGGGCATGTACCACACATATTTTGTTAGTGCAATAACGACCATAGAAAAATTATTTCAAATCCAGTCAAAAACAACAGGTGTCTATTTTATATTTCAACATGTGGTAAATATTTCTAAATTGTTTAATTTTAGGTATTATAATGAGTGCAACTGAAATGGGTCAAATAGGATCTTCCTTACTATTAACTTATTATGGTGGACAAGGACATAGGCCCAAGTGGATTGCTTGGGGCATGGTTCTTTTCGCTGTGAGCAGTTTTACTTGTTCCCTACCTCATTTTATTTATGGGAAACAGTTGATAAAGGCTAATGATTTAACTGGAATTATTAGGTAATTCACCTATTATTAATTCCAGAATTAATTTATAAGTTTGGGTTAAAAAATATACACGTACCTATGTTTAATAAAAATAACAATAGATAAGAAACACAAAGAAAGTAATACACTGTAAGCAATTTTTAAGCGATTTTTAAATACTTGTGAAGGGAGCATGGTATTAAAGTAAATTTGTAAATGATACCCTGATACCTATACAGAAAGTCAAGTCGATGCTCAATCCTTTAATAGACTTTTTTTTTTAAATAAAAAACGGGCGTGAAAATATATATTTTTGAGCTTCCATGAAATAAAGTCACGCATGTTAAACTTCTGGATGTACTCTAATTTTGAATTTCCGACTGAAAATTCGTAATACGTGTTTCTGAAAACTTCCCCTTATATTAATTAATTAAAAACGAATGCGACCATATGAGCTTCTTTTCTTTTTATAAGGGAGCCTATTAGGTAGGCTCCATGTTGACATTAGAATTGATTGTAATCCTTGAGAGTCCAAGATCTAAAAATGCCAAAACGCATAGGAAATCTACCTTTTTTTAGAACGAGTAAAAATTTCCTATTGGCCGATTTTCTTAGTTTTTAATAGCTGGTGAAGGTAGAGAGTGAAATAGTAGTATATAACTAGATTTTGTAGAGGGCTAAATTTTGTATAATTTCCGAATATTCGCAGTAGGTTAATAACAAAAATACCTACTTGAAAGTCTCCTTTTGGGTACCTACAGTCTTGCTGATACAGTAAACTTGGACGCCCTTTTTTTCTCGATTTTTTCAAAATTAAACACAAAATACGAAATTTTTGAGATATCGATTTCTCTAAAGTTCGAAACATTATTTTTCCAAAAAATCAGCCAGGGACTATTATTGTTTACTAAAATTGTGAACCTCAATTGACGCCAAGTTTTTGGTGGAAATATTTTTTTCTTGACAGCTACTTTAGCTATTCGAAACTTTTATGAACCAACTTTGTAGCAATATTTTTCCTTAAAAGACCAAAAAACAAAATTTAAAAAAATCGGCAACAAGAAGCCAGCATATCCAAACTTAGTTCTTTTTACAAGATAGCCGAACAGATTTGGGCATCTCCTAGCTTTGATCTACTACTCATGCTCATTGGCCTATCCATCAGTTTTGTAGATTACATACCCTGAATTTTTGACAATATTTTATTGTAATTTGATAGATCAGATTTTTTTGTTGCTATTTTCCAGATAACAATTCAAAACATTACCATATTTCCAAATTTTGGCATGCTAAACTGAACAGCGATTACAGTCAGAACGTACGTATTTCCTGGTAATTTAAAAAAAATTTAAGTGGTGACCATGAAAATAATAATTATTCAATCCCTATCAAAATAACTATCACTGTTGGGGAAAGTAGAACTTTCTAAAATTTGGCTATCAAGTACAAAAATAGAAAATAGAGATTCCCTGCAAGAAATAAAGTTGGGCTCACTTTAGTTGGGGGAGACATTCACACATCGGAACTCTTAATTTCCTAGTCATCAAAAATTAATTGTATTGTATTTTTTATCCATAAACTAATTCGTCGATTGGATGTTTTTTGTAAACAGTAGTGGTGCAGGTTGGAACTTTTACTTTTAGGAGTAACTATCAAATATTCAAATGTATGATATATCAACTACCGATTTCAAATTGTTTTCTGAAATAGTTCACAAAATCGTTTGTTAAGGTGCATTTATTGTCATTTCTACCTGATAACTTGTAGAGAAAACTGGTATAAGTGTCTAAAAAAATGCGCATAACTTTTCCCCATCATGTAGGTACCATGCTATACCATTTTGGCATATATTTTTGTTTCTAACTCATCACGTATTATGAATTTTCTAATAAATCCCTATTTGAAACGACTTTTAATCTGTGTCGTCTAAGATTTTCGAGGTATACTAAAATTTAATACAATGACCCAGATTACACTTTCGCTTCTGAATTCTGACTCACTATGAATATAAAATATTTCTTTTTAGGGAACCTAATATATGTAAACCACCAAACTTCGATCTAGACGATTTTACCAAAAATCGAGCACAAACAATTCTCAACACGACCGACTTTATTAATGAAAATATTTCTCCTAATATTATACAAACTTGCTATGATGAAGACGTACTACCTGGACATCAAATTCAGCCAAGTGTTACCAATATTGTACTCGCAATATTTTTTATTAGTTTACTTGGAGTTGGTATGGGTCAAACTGCAGTTTATACTTTAGGTATTCCTTATATGGACGATAATATATCTAGTAAACAATCGCCTTTATATTTTGGTAAGTAAAAATCCATAAAACTGTCTTTACTTTTTCAACAGCGTCAAGCTAACATCTATATAAATGTGAAACTAGGAGCATTTTATCAGCTTTGATTTAGTTTTTCAAAAAAAATCTAGAGGATGACAAACGGCTCAAATTTGAAAAACATGAAAAAGTCTTTGAATCATGAGAATCTACATGTTTAAAAAAATCTGATCATATCCGTTAAAAGCCAATGACAGACTGAATAACCTTTATCTCAAAATTTCGACTTAATACAGAGGGTATCTTTGAAAAGTTATGATAGATCTTAAAAATTGGACAAAGCGAATAAGAAATATACACCGGGTTTTAAAATGGGTTGCTAATTTTTCCCAAAAACAGTATGCAAAATATTCAATAAATACGAAAAAAGTGAGTATAGATCACCTAATAAAAAAGAAATTGATCAAAAATAAACCGTTTGTATATTATGAAAAAATAAAATAAACAAATAATTAGCTCCAAAAAAAATCATCACAGGAGCCTTGCGCGGTATTATTCGGTCGGAATTCCATGGATAATCTGACTACTGCCATCTTTTTTCCTCTGTAGAACAGTTTCAATTTGTTTGCTGTGATATGGTGCATTGTATAAAATTATCAAAGAGCTCCAAGGAATAATTTATTAGTTATTATTACCTACCATTTCCATCAGAGTCGGGGAAGTGAGACGACGGGTAGGGGGTAGGGGTGTAGGGACGCGTGCGAACTTTTGGACTCTTGGGAAGTGTATGGACAAGGACCTGGAACAGAACAAGTGAGCTGGATGGAACAAGTTGGGCAAGTGTCTGGAAGAAGTCCAGAGAGGTCAGGAAAGGGCAAGGACAAGTCTGGATAAAGTCTGGAAGAAGTCTAGATGAGTCTGGATAAAGTCTGGAAACGTCTGGAAAAGGCCTTGAAATTTCTGGAAAGGGTCGGAAAAATTTTGGGAAATCTGGAAAGGGTCCCAAAAGACCTGGGGATCATTTTCCAGAATCTGGATAAAATTTGGAAAAGCCTGGAAACTCCAGGAGAGAGCTCAGAAGCACCAAAAAAAGATTCTCCAGAATCAGGATATTTTCTGGAAAATCTAGAAAACACAGGAAACGGTCAGGAAAAGGCCTAGAAAGGTATGGATAGGTCTGGATATCTTCTGGAGAGCGATCTAAATACGAGTAGACCCAGTTACCGGGCGAAATGGCGCACGCCAAGGGAACTGATAGCGAGCTTGAGGAAAACCTAGAGGAAGAGCAGCAGCCTAGGGAAGGGAGAGAGAAGGGAAATTTCCCCAAACGCTCTATGCTGAAGAGATCGCCTAAGGTTCAGAAGCTTGTGGAAAGGGTCGAGGCTGAAGTTAATTGTAGGGTGACTGAGGCTATGCAGGAGGTCCAAGTGTTGCTGGAGAGGTCAGTGGACGAGTTCGTTCAGACTCAGATCGATACTTCGACAAAATTACCTGAAGACGGCATATCGAGTGGGAACATGGCTAGTAGTTACGAAGACGGGAAAGAGCGATATGGAACCTCAAGGGGTAGAGTAAGGGGAAGAGCAAACCCTAGAGAAGAACTAGCAAGGAAGTATACAAAAGAGAAGCTCACCACAGATACTCAAAACAAAGAGCAGGAGGAAACACAGAGGGCAACCGAACAAGAAAGCAACGCCGACCAGGGAGAACATCACCTCGCCTGGTGGGACAAACTGAGGGCAACGGTGGACCAGATGAATGGCGTCACCAATGCCAGTATTGAGGAAGTTCGGACATGGGCAGACCAAATTATGAAGGCAACCACTCGAATGTCTGCCGGAAAGGTCAGTTTCAACATGACCGAGAAGGATGTGGTGCACAAGGAAGTGGCGTTCGTTAAGCGAAACAATCGATTTGTCGGCTAGGCTGGAAAGAGCACAGGGGGAGGTTCAGAGGCAACAAGACAGGAACCAGTGGCTTATTGCGCAATACGAAGACAGGGAGAGGGTTTGGCAGGAGAGAGTAGGGACTGGAAAAGAGTTGGCAGCGGTATGGCAAGAAATTGCGGATCTCAAAAACACGAATGAGGGCAGCACGGAGAGCAGAGCACAGGCTGAAAAAAGAAACCGTCACAGCCACCAAAGCCAAAACCACAGCTCATCAGAGTGGCTCCAACAGATACGGAGACAAACCTGACCACAAATGCCACCACTGACGCACAAAGCGACTGGGAACTGGTCAGACCCAAGAAAAAGAAAACGTACGCGGATATGGCCAATAATGCAAAAAAAAAGAGAAGAAAGGAGAGAGGCGAATATCAAAGCCACAGAGACGGACCCAGGCTGGGTAACCCCAGAGCCCAAAGAAGTACCTAACGACTTTGTGGTAATTTTACGGGGAAGGGAAGGCGAAACTTGGAACCAGGCCCAAACAAGGGTTCGGGAGATCAGGAACCTACTTCTAGCCAAAGATATCAAAGAGGCTAGAGCAATGAGGGTCACGAGACAAGGAGGCGCCATAATTCTAGCCAAAGACTCGGAACAGCAGAGCACCATCAGAAAGGTTATCGAAGAGAATGCCGTTGGGGACCTCAAATCGTTAGGCAATATAAGACCCATGATTCGTCACTCTGGAGTGGAGAAAGGTCTGACGGAAAAAGAAATTGTGGACTTCCTATTCATGGAGAATGATGAGCTAGGAGGGGTAGCAGACAGGCATATAAAGGTCGTTTTCCGGCGCGGGTGCTTCAATAATTTTGAAGAAAATATCGTATGTGAAACCAGCACTGACATATTCCGCGCCCTCATGAAAGCCAGGCGATTTAGGTTGGAACATTTGTGGATGAATACCTGGACCTGTCCATGTGTTTCTAGGAATGCCAAAGGGAAGATCCCGATTGTCCAAACTGCGCAAGGATGACGATAAGACGGGACGAAAGAAGGCACATGGCAGGGGATCGAAACTGTCCCGTGTACAAAATGCAGATAGAAAGAGTTATCTGTTATAAATAATGGACAGACGACACGCAAAGATAACGACCCTGAAGATATTATACAATTCAACGCAGACAGAGGGCGAGCGGCGACCAACCTGATGGAGAAGTACGCAGAACAAAACTATATTGACCTAATTACAGTACAGGAGCCACATAATAGATAGTACAGCCCTCACTACCACATCCACGGCGCCCGCAAGGGCACAAAAACTCACTTATGGGCAAAAAAAGCACTACAGGGTGTCTCCTCATGCATACAATTAAACAACGACAACTCCACGACACTCCGGTTAAATGACGAAACGGAGACAGAACTATACATAACATCAATCTATGACGAGCCTGGCGGTACCGCAAACACTAGACTCCTTCAAAACAGTGAGGGCTACAACAACATGACTGGCGGTCACATCCTAGCAGGCGACTTCAATGTACACAATAAAGCGTGGGAGGACATGTCACGGACACACGAGGGGCGCATCTCCTAGACTGGACAAACACTAACGGCTATGACATAGCGAACATAGGAGATCAGGGTCCAACTTTTGAGACTAGTTGGGGCTCAAGCCCCATAGATATGGCAATGGTTAAAAGGGCCGACATATTGGATTGGTGCGTTGTCCAGGATGAGGAGACACTTAGCGGCCACAAATATATAACTTTTAGGATAAAGACAACAAAGGAGCAAAAACAGATAACCAAAAGTGTTTTTGACTTCGAGAATAACGCCTGGCGATGGTTTAGACTACAATTAGCAGAGGCGTCTAAGAGACAGGCTTGGGGGCAGCATACCGTGGAGCAGCTGGAGCTCAGAGACATTAAACTACAGGAAATCTGGAGCAGAAATTGTAAGCTACATATAAAGACAAAATGGGTGTACGAAAACAATGACGACTGGTGAAACGAGAGCTTACAGAGGATGAGGACCACAGCTAGAAGGTAACGGAAAGAGTGGCAAAAAGAAAAAGAACCCGTTAAAAAGCAGGGAATGTTAGAGACTCAGGGCCCACCAAATAGCATACAAGAAGGCGATATAAGATGCGAAGCTACTTTTGAAAGAGTCGAGAGTCGAAAACCTAGCGAATTCTCAGCCGTGGCACCGCCTATGGAACTTCCTAGGTAAAAAAAAAGGAAGATGGCTCGTACACAACGACCGAAGACGAAAAATACGAATATCTGATAAAAAAGTACTTTCCGCAAGACAACCCCGAACACGACAACGAAGACATGGGAAAGACCTGGGCCAGAGTCAAACGCTACAATGGTACATCAGAAAAAGAAATAACCTAACGAGGCAATCAGACATATATTCGCGGAAATACCGGAGATAAAATAGAGTTGTGAATAAAATTTTCTGTTCGTGTCAATTATTTCATTATTGCTCCTATTCAAAAATGATTTATCTAAGTTATTCTTGTATTCACAAACATTTCATTGCCCTATATGGCATACCATTTTAAAAAAGAACTGTCCGGCAACACTGCTGGATCTAAAGGGGAGTTTACAACGACACTGGCCGTGAATAAAGAGCGTGGTCCACCCTTTGAATAGAATTACTCGTTCAATACCTATGACAATCAAATCTATGAGTTTCCGCTGATCTCAGAGCTCACAATAATCACAAGCATTAGCATTGAAGTCATTTTCAATGTCCTCCCCGGTTGCATCTCTGTGAAGGACTGTGAATTTTATTGTCAAATAACAACTAGAGGTCCGTTGCAATGAACATGAGAAACTAGTCAGTGATAGGTAACTATTTTACCATCAAAAACTCATGACACAACTATTTTATGATTTTCCTTGGAATGAACCTATTGCTCCTACCAGATAGTTCACTTACGATGATTCAAGAATGCATTATTATTTTCAGCTATAACAATTGGAGTTCGAATCCTGGGTCCAGCCTTTGGATTTATTGTTGGATCTCTATGTACTAGTGTATACGCCGACCTTTCTGTGGATCCCAAAATTGACCCATCTGATCCTAGATGGGTGGGTGCATGGTGGTTGGGTTTAGTCATAATCTCAGGACTATTAATATTGGCTTCAATAGCAATGTTTGCATTTCCCAAACGTCTGCCGCCTGTTAGGCCTTCTGTACATATACCTAGATTGGCCAATATTAGTGTTATAACTGATAAGAAACAACATCCTAGTTTAAGAGGTACTTACCTAATAGTTTTTATATTCTGTTTATCATTCAATGAAAGCTTTTTTTTTTTAGATTTTCCAAAAACCGTAAAAAGACTGTTGAAAAACGATATACTGATGTTTAGAACTGCCAGCAGTGTACTTCATATTTTGCCCATAGCCGGGTTATACACATTCCTGCCGAAATATTTAGAATCTCAATTTAGACTTCCTACACCTACTGCCAATATGATTTCAGGTATATGCAATAATTAGTGACCTATCTACTATTTTGAAACTAAAAATGAATTGTTGCTATTTTTAGGAGTTGGCGGAATACTTGTGATGGGGGTTGGCATAGTGATCAGTGGAATATTTATTTTAAAAATTAAACCAAATGCTCGATTTGTAGCTGGATGGATAGCATTTACGGCAATTGTTTATGCTATCGGTATGGGTGTACTTATGTTTATTGGCTGTCCAATGAACGATTTAGCAGATCTGAAACCAAATGACGGGTAAGATTTGTCTTTTATTTATTTTGAAGGGCATTAACTAATGGCATTAAACTACTATTATTGTAATAAATTTTTGAAACTAATTGGCATTACCCACCATTCGCCCACTATTTTTAAGTTTTTCAAACTGTGCATAAGAGTTTTTGAGTGCAATTTCCACCAAATCACAAATCGGCTAGAAGAACTGGAGAAAAAAATTTGTAAGAAAGAGAACATTCTGTTATGAATAACACGAAACATGAGACCGATCTTAGTTTTTTAAACGTAGTATTAAATGATGTGTTTCAAGCACTTGTAGGGGGTGGCACTTGACATTTTCAAGTATCTAGTAGTAGCTGGGAGTTGAAGGGTAAAACCTAAAATACAGCTGTTATTGGTTTCCATCTTTCCCCTGAAAAGCTAACTTGACGATTTTTTCGCCTAGCGCTAATTTTTCAGGTCAAAATTTCAAAAGGGGTGTTAAAGAGTTGAAATGAAAGCGTGTATGTAGGTATCCATAAAGTGCCGAATTCGAAGACATACTTATATTCATATTTTTCAACATTGACCTAGAGCGTGGTTTAAACAGTCTTATTATAAAAACTTTATTTTATGGGCGCCGGAAGGAAACCTCACCGGACTGGCTAGAGCTAGAGCAAATATTCCAATATATATATTTGAATAACGGTTATCACTCCCAAATCTTGTCTGATCTGGTGCTCTTAATAGCAACTGTGATATTCATGATTTTTGTAGCAGAGCAAAAACAAAACAAACTTAAACTAACAATCAATTATAGACAGTGGGTATTTTATCAATTCTAGCGCACTTATGCAAAGTTCAAATAAAGAATCCTGTCAAATTTTTTCATTAAACTGACGGCGAGATGAAAATCTGTTCATTATATTTTTAATATTTATTTAAAATGGGCCATACAGCATTTTTGTTTTTAGGAAAAATACAATTCCCATGAGCAGCTGTAATAAGACTTTATGTACTTGCAATGAAGACAAATTTCAGCCAATCTGTGGTCAAGATCTCAAAACCTATTTATCGCCTTGCCATGCAGGTTGCCAAAATTATACGGAAAAAGATGGAAAAATAGTCGAATATTCAAATTGCATGTGCTTATCAACGTCTGAGGACAGAGTATTCGACAACACAACCATTTATGGCAACGCTACTATCGGCTACTGCAACCACGAATGTGGCAGTTTCTTAACTTATATCATTTTATTTTCGATATTTGTTTTCGTCCATTCGACTTCAGAAGTTGGCTCTATGCTACTTATTTTGAGATGCGTCGATCCTAAAGATAAAGCTATGGCTTTAGGATTGATACAGTTTGCTATTGGATTATTTGGGAATGTACCATGTCCAATTATTTATGGAGCCGTTGTGGATTCAGCTTGCAGAATATGGAAAATGGCTTGCGGAGAAAAGGGAGCGTGTGGATTGTACGACTCAGATACATTTAGAATGTTTTATCATGGTAAGTAATTTGATTTTCCAACAAGTATCTGAATCGGGTATATAGAGAAAATCAGTTTGAAAACAGAGGAATTTAGGACTGACCGTGGGGACGTTTTATGAGCATCAGTTAAGAAACCGAAAACGCCCACTAACTACATGTTATTTTATATTGCAAACACATCTCACAGCTTTGAACGCCATAAATACTTCGAAAACTTTCAAAAAGTTTCCCAAACGTTCATAATGCATCCAAGAACCAAGAGCATCTAATAGACGTTTTTCTATAGTGCAAATATCACAGCTTCGAATATAAATAAAAATACTGAGTCTCTTCTTCTCGCTCCAAAGTAAGATTTTTTGTATTCTAATGCTACTGCAACTATTCGAACGTTTATACAGGGTGTCACGAAAGGTTTGTTACAAACTTCTAGGGATGGTAGATCTCGTAAAAATAAAACTTTTTTCTTAATAAACATGTGTCCGGAAATGCTTCGTTTTCCAGATATACAGGGTGGCCCGAATTTGGTCTTCATCATTGGTATCTCGGTAACCGTAAGTGATACGGGGTTGGTTAAATTATGGCAAAGTTGCGCAATTTTATGACCAATAGAATACCGTTTTGAAACTAGAAAGATTCCGAATACTTCCGGAGATATTCGGAAAAAACCAAAATTTTGTAAAATCGTTTTTATTTTTTCCCGGTCTTATTTGAAAAGCAATTTTAAAATAAATGTCACTTCTTCCCCTCTAGTAGATGGTGGTACTAAATTTAAAATTCGACGTTTCGTCTTCAGGCGGCCATCCTTAACTTACGTTTTTTAAATACGAACCTAGATTTTTTTATTTGCGATTTTGTCATCCTAAAACCGATACTGTTTATAATTTTTCAATAACACGGTAAAAAAGCAGGTTCGTATTTGAAAAAAAAAATTGATGATGATTCCAGAGGAACGAAACGTTGGATTTCAAATTTAATACTGCCATCTTGTAAAGAAGAGAAAGTGACAATGGGAATGTGAAATTAGCTTTTCAGAATCATTTTAAATGAAATCAGGAAAAAATTTAAGAAAAACGAGAAATTCATGTTTTTTTCGTATAGTTTTCATTTTTTCCTGATTTTATTTAAAAAGATTGTGAAAAACTAATTTCACCTTGCCTTTATCACTTTTTCTTCTCTACAAGATGGCGGTATTAAATTTAAAATACAACGTTTCGTTCCTCTGAAATCATGATTTTTTTTTTTAAATATGGACCTGCTTTTTTTGCTGTGTTATTGAAAAATTATAAACAGTATCGGTTTTAGGATGCGCAAAGATGACAAAATCGCAAATAAAAAATTCAGGTCCGTATTTAAAAAAAGGAAGTTGAGGATGGCCGCCTGAAGACGAAACGTCGAATTTTAAATTTAGTAGCACCATCTTCTAAAGGGGAAAAAGTGATAATGATGAAGTGACATTTATTTTAAAATTGCTTTTCAAATAAGCCCGGGAAAAAATAAAAACGATTTTACAAAATTTTGTTTTTTTCCGAATATCTCCGGAAGTATTCGGAATCTTTCTAGTTTCAAAACGGCATTCCCTTGGTCATAAAAATGCGCAACTTTGCCATAATTTAACCGACCCCGTATCTCTTACGGTTACCGAGATCACAATGATGAGGCTGAAATTTGGGCCACCCTGTATATCTGGAAAACGAAGCATTTCCGGACACATGTTTATTAAAAAAAAAGTTTTATTTTTACGAGATCTACCATCCCTAGAAGTTTGTAACAAACCTTTTGTGACACCCTGTATAGTAGTCGTATTACGACATTGCACCAACAGTCGCAGTAGGTATTTATGCACAAGGATGTTTCGACTATTTGAAGTTGACCAGATCCAGAAGCAATGTCAGTTCGTTTTCGTGATCCGCCTATATTGTGCAACGTTGACATGACGCCCATCTGCTGCTAAAATATTGAAAGTGATTTTTGGACGTAGTTGTGACTTCGCCATATCACCTAAAAGGCTAGGCTAGCTTCTGAATGGTAGGGAACGTCAGTTCCACGTTGCATTTCAATTAAATTATAAAAGTGGGTCCTACGTTTTTCACCAAAACTGGTTCGACTTCGTTAAATACAACATGACGTAACCTAGCAGGTCGAGCATAGTCAGTTCTTCTAAAAGTTTTCAGCGGTTTTCTACTCCAGCAGGTTCGGCCATTACTGTTTTTGACCGCGACTGGCGATCGCCGTTTTAAAGGAGGATATTTTACCAAAAAAGTCTGTTTTTTGGGATCTTTTTTTGTTGTACCTAATAGCTAATAGGTTTTCCTTTTAATTTTTTTTTTGTGATTGAAAGGTCGGTAATTTCAATGTCACTGTCTTCTGCCTACTGATTTGTTACACTTAAAGCGTTATAGCACTTTCCAAAGAATTTTGTGCGACGATTCTCTATCTACCGCCACATCAGGTTGGCATTCTTCAATAACTTCATCTTCAATTTCTGTCCTTCCCTCTCGCCAGGCATTTGTGGATGGCCTTTCAACTGGCTCAAAAATGCCTTCCGTTAAGGGCCGCAGGTTAATAGAATCTCACATTTGTAATTGATAGAGGCTTTTTAAATAGAGGTTAGCTTGAATTCGAAACAAAATCAACCAGCGATTAGGTACCATGAAAAGAAATAAAGGAAGAACAATAATTGTAACTGTGGCAACCTCCGATTCAAATGAGAGTGATTTAGGGGAAAGTGGCTCAGATAATTGAACATTTTTTTCAGTGAAATTAAGTTTTTGTACATACCTTTTTTCTATAACAAATTCTATTATCCTGTTTCTATTGCAATAGGCAATAGGTAAACTGTTTGTGGTAGTACCTATATTATTGTAATTTATTCTTTATTTTTGTAAGGAGTATTAATTTTTGATATAAAGAAAGGAGCCCATTACCTACAATGTTGCTGGTGGATGATTTTTTCAAAAACATTGAACAAAAACTTGTATCCAGTACCGAGTGTGCCGGTGAAATAATATTTAAACTACCTGGTGTATGCTTCTTTTATATTTACGTATTATACACACCCTGTTTTCAACCCTTTTTCTGCGTGTTATAATTAGGTTTTGTGCTCCTACGAGAAGGAAACAGCAGAATATAACACGTTATGCATGCCGAAGAATTGATTCGCCTATTTTGAGTTAGTTATTTCTGCATTTCAAAAGTCCGCCTATTTAACTTACTGTTTCTATAGGTACAACAAACGAGGCTGATTCTTTAGATAGAAAATGCATGCGAAATATTAATTGGATTTTGACTATTTTTCTCGTGATTATTGAAAATAACATTATTTTCTAGGGACAACCGGTGCCTTACTTCTTTGTGCATTCTTCGTGGATCTAATAGTATGGTACAAAGCCGGTAGCATCAATTTCGTAGACGAACAGCAACAGTTTGACGGTGAATTGGTCAATATGGCCATTAAGATAAAAGGAGATGAAGGGAACTAGCATGAGGCTGCGGTGAAAGAGATTTCATCAAAATACTAGGTTTTATTAGATTGTTTCCATTATTGATTTTTTTTATTATTATTATTTTTTTTAATTTGATAAGTAGATCTCTATGGTTGAAACCAATATAATCTGAAAAATTTGTTTCAAAACTTTGGACAAAGTATGTATATACATTTATACATATTAGGTATGTATATATAAACAATACATATATATTTTTGTACGACTTATTATTGAAAAAAAAACAGACTGCACAAATAAATAGGCCTCCTTGATGGTCAGATATCACATCGTATTTTTAAAAAACTTTAAGCTATACAATACTTAAGAAAAGTTTAATTTTCACTAAAACAACAATAAACTGTAGAAGAGAAGTTTCTAAATTTTAAAATTTGTGTTGTAAAAAATTAAATCTGTTAAGTTTGCAATCTTGCTGGCAAAAACAGTATCGAATTATTGATCAGAATTATCGAATGTTTAAGGGTCTTTACCAGATATTTTTTTATAAAAAATGCCATTAAATATAGTCGTTACTGATTAAGAGACTCGGCAGCTACAAAACATTTCTGTCTGTGTTTAGGTAGGTTATTTCCTAGTCGAAACAACTGTTGCACATATTAAATTTTAATGAAAAAAGTGCATTATTGTAGTTTAATTTTTAACAATTCATATAGTACATTAAGACCTAGCATACAGCTAGTATTTAACGTAGCAGATTTTTGTTTATATTGTCAAATTATTTTAGCAAATTAACCCTATTTTTAATGTATCTAGTTATATATTTTGAATGTATGTATTTAGGAAAGCCTATGTAAGTAATAGTAGGTATTCTGCTATTTTCTGGCAGATAAATTAAGGAAATATTTTTTAAATATAATTTTTTTTGCTAGATCATCACATATATACCAAATATTATAAGAAAAAAGAAAGACTTTGGTTAGATCTTTTATACGGGCAACAAACACAAACAAAATATTCAAAAAGTAAAGAAAAATTTTGTATTTTGAGATATCATATTTTCTTTGTAATATTATTTGCTTATACATTTAATAGATATTTTGTTGAAACCAAAAAAAAAAAAAAAACATTTGAAACTAATAGAATTCTTGCATCCAACAATATAAGCTGTGATATTTAATATGTTTTCTATACCCATTTATTTAATATAATCAATCTTACCTGATATTATACTCATAAAGTCATTCTTTTAAATAATTAGTTTCCGTTTAAAGCCGAATGGATGATGTGCAAGAATTAAATAATTAAGTTGTAAAATAAATATCACCATGAAGTAACAGATATTTAAGTAGGTGCCTACCTATATTTTTTTTTCTAAAACTACCACCAGATTACCTCTAACGACTTTTATGAGTATATAATTTTCATGGCGATCAACCAATCGAGAGTTGTAGATTTGTATATTTTACCCTACAAGACATGAATTCATACACAGAGAAAAACAAAATATAATCTGTAGATGCATTCCAATAAAAAAAAAACATTTTTTACTTGTAGGACATTAGATGCTTTTATAAAAGATCATTTTAATCTTTTACACTGCATCAACAAAAATCATACTTTGAGTGAAAGTGAACCATCAAAAGTAGCCAAGAACAAACAGACTCACATTATTATGGGCTATGGAAAATGACAGTAAATTAAACCATAGCTTATAATGTGTGCATACATATTGTGTACTATATTGTAAAAGCTCTTTTAAACATTTAAAAAACACATTATTTTTCAAGTACAAATAATAAAGGTATTTTCATAAAAAAGACAAGACCTACAATGCTCCTACTCGCATTCTTTGACATTTTGAAGTAACTTTCTTCACAATATTCAATACATTTTAACACTGTAGATTGTAAATTTTCAATATCTTTGTCAATGGGTTGTATTATGTAGTTAAACATAAAATTTTAGAAATAATTGAATGTAATATTGAATACCTATCGAATTATAAATCACATTATGTAAATGTATATGTATCTCTGGTCTCTGCATTTTAAAAAATATATCAAGTAAACCAGATTGACTATATGTATGTATAAGTAATTTATATTTGAGATGTTTTACACATCTTTAATATATCTATTAATATTTCCTTTACCAAATATCATTAAACTTATTAAACTATAGTTACCAATCAGTTATACTATAAAAGTCTATGTTCTTTGCTATTTAGAAAATAGATGTGCCATGTATCTATAGTTTAACGAAGATATACCTCACTCCTATATTTTTATTATGGTGCTCAAACAGTTTATACTTTTATATTATTGATTTTTTCTAGAATTGTTTTTTTGTTTCTGTATTCCCTGTTAGTTTTTAGTTTGAAATAGCCAATAAATTTTCTAAGTATTTGATGAAATTTTATTTAATGCTCCAACATGAGACTACGTTAGAGTAGTAGGAGGGACTGAGACTGAGAAAAAGTTATGTGAACAAATTGAGAGGTACAGGAATCTTAGGTTTCTGTTTTGACGAAATTGTGAGAGATTGGGATTTTGATTTAAAATCTAACGCAACTTTCAATGTAAAATTTACATTGCGCTAGATGCTTAAAATTGGGTGGGTGAAAATTTGGTTGGGTAGAAAATTGATTCTAGCCATCATTTCGTCCTCAGAGAGTTAAAAGAGTGAGGATGACGTTCTTGAGACAGGGCCAGTGGCGTAGCGTGAGCTTCCGTCGCCTGGGGCCTACCGGAAATTCGCCGCCCCCTCTATTTTATGTATTAGTCAAGAAAAGTAGTAAAATAAGTCAAATAGAGCATCTGTTTTAGGGAATTTTCATATTTCTCAATTTATTTTTTTTTAGATAGCTACTTCTAGTGATCAGATATTACATAGTTTTCTTTTTTTCCATTTTAATTTACACGTTGTAAAAAAAATAAATTATTGAAATTCAAATCAAAACTTTGGCGCGGAAACGCGAGGTTTCAATATGACAGATGACAGCGCTAGTAACGTCAAGATTTCGTAAACAACACATGCAGCAAACTCATTTTTTTTGTGTTATTCGAGAGTGTGTTAAAGTCTGCTTTTTTTGAAAATTGTCGCAATGAATGAAGAATATTGTAAAATTTGTAAGGGACTGCTTTTGAAAATTTTGTTAAACTTGCAAGTTCCCTATTGACAGATTTGTTTACAGAATCGTGACGTCAAAAAAAGGTAGCCATCATAGAAGCATTGTTTTGGCGGGAAATTTTTTATTTCAAATTAAAGGCCTATCCTCAATCAATCTGGTAACGGAGTGGTACTTCGGCACGCATGCTAGGATAATGTTGTTCAACGTTGGCATCCTCAATTCAATTCCGTGCTAGCATGCACGCCGACTCTGAAGTGCAAGCTTGCAAGCTGCAAGCTTTTTTAATGCGTGCCGACTTCTGTCATGCGGAGTACGGTAAAAAATAGTTCAGGTTATCCTTGCGTTCGGTATTTTGCTCAAAGAGCAGAGCGGAGTTGTAATCACGTGACCAGCGAGCACACAGAGCAGTTGAACGCTGTATCAGAGGGCTCAAAATTTCAATAAATGAACGTGAATGAGCCTGCACCGTGTACACTTTTTGAATAAGCGAACGGTAAATTTATGCTCGGAGAACTCAGATCAAAATACCGAACGCACAGTTCGTGACCGTACTACACGCACACCAGACTGAAAATTGACAGCATTGAGGATGGGTATCAATTTCCCAGCACGCATGCCGAAGTGCACGCACAGTTCGTGACCGTACTACACGCACACCAGACTGAAAATTGACAGCATTGAGGATGGGTATCAATTTCCCAGCACGCATGCCGAAGTGCCACTTCGCTACCAGATTGATTGAGGATGTAGCTTAAGTATTATTTTTTGTGTCATAAGGGCGGTATCAGTTGAATAAAAACTTGTCATATAAATATTGTGCAGTAAAAACTACCGATTCAAAACAAATTTGGAAAATTTTATATTTTTTTTGTTTAAAATTTGCCGCCCCTTCCCGTATGCCGCCCGTGGCCATGGCCCCCTCAGCCCCCTCCTCGCTACGCCACTGGACAGGGCCTGGGGATGGAGCAATGGGGCTCAGATTTTGCAGGCATGAGATTTGTGTTAGTGGATTGAGTGGGTCGGCTTGTGTTTTGGGACGGGACTCATTTTTGATGAAATTTGATAGGTATGCCATAGCCGTATTTGTGACATTGTGGAAAAAAAATATTTTTTGCTTGTTGTGATTTGATTTTATTGTATCTAATGGACGGTTTGGGGGTTTTTACATCGGCACTCTCGGGGAGAATTTTAGTTACTGGCATTGTGGTTCTACAGGTTTGGGAGTGGTGTTGTCTGCCAAGATTTTTTTTCTGCTTTTTAGTCGGTGTAGTGCATGTGGATTTGGTGTGTGGCCATTTATCATAGTTTTAGATTTTTGCAAGTGATTTTTGGAAATTTTGGAAGTGCAATGTTGTTACACTACACTTTCATAAAATTCTGGTTTTGAATGAAGCTCTGGATATGAGATTCGAAACAACCCGTTTGGGTTTTGAACTAAACAATCATAGATTGGGAATACGTCATTAATGTCAGTCATCTCCCGAATTTAGAAATTAAGGAATTTATCATTTGAGTCCGTGAAGTCCTTCAATACTATCGGAGGGACTTTCTTGCCTTCGGCGGCGTTGGTTGGCGTATTAATGGCTACGACTGGCGTGGAGGAAACAACTCTGGCGATATTGTCCCGGCCTTATGTTTCCCCAGGGCTCGTATTCTCGTAACCGGGGAACACCATTCTCAACAGAACGATTATTGCTCTGTCTTAGTCCTCCATATTGTTATTTCCATAATACTGACAAAGACAGAGCAATCGTACTTTTGAGAACGCTGTTCCCCGGTTACCAGAATACGGGCCCTGAACGACTCTTTTGCTGTGGGCACCATTTTGGTTTCGGGATAGCTTGAGTCAATTGAAGGCGATTAACCAGTCGGTTATATTGAGAGATCAACAATGCACTTAACGTCATTTATTACCGATTGGTTGACAAATGACAAATCATTGGTTATCTGTTAACTATGATCGATCGGTTAATCGCCTTTAATCGATGTTGGTCTTGCAACTTTCAGCGTCTTGTTGGATGGCGTCTGACATCTTCGGTGGTGGATGGCTTTCTTGTTCAGATAGCGGTTGCTGCTGCTGGCGGGTAGGCAGTTCTAGCTCTTAGATTCCTAGCTCCTGGAAAAAGGGGCTATAATGGCAATGTCTAAGTCTCAATCAGTTCTTAGTCTTGGCGCTTGAAGCTTCTAGATACAACGGTCTTCGTTCTTCTGAAGGGTGCATTCGGACTACATGCACGCTCATGAGTTCGGAATCTTCCGCCCACTGGTTAGTGGAGGTCGCCGTCCCCCGGTTTCCGACTCTTTGATCAAGGACTCGGGGTAATTCGTAGTTGATAGTCGGAGGAAGACATCCCCTAAATTGCCGCTGCCACGACTCTCGGAGAAACTCTCAAGTTACTGGACGGTTCTTTTGGAAAACCACCTGTATTATGTGGAACATGAACGAGCTAGTTTTACTGGTATCGCAGTAGTAGAGTAGATTGATAATCGTTATGAGTAAAATTGATTTTGTCTCACTATTTTTTTTTGAAATAGGTACACAGCATCAGGCGACTATATGGTAAGCTTCTCGTTAAGGAAGGCTCAGAGTATCCTAAATAAAACGTACAATGCTCTTTATGTTTATCCGCAATTATTCAAAACTCCTCATACAGTATGCCAAATAAGGGTTTTGCAAAAGAGGTACGTCGCTGTGGGCACGTAAGGTGATGAAAGAAAATTACAGTTTTTTGTATATTACGTGAAAAATTTTTGCACGCATGATATTGGGTTAGTAAAATTTGAAAATGACAACACTGGTTGTCTTCTAACAATAATGGCCGTTTAAAGCTTTTTAGCTAATCCAAATTTAATAATAAACAGTATTTAAAATCATGTATTAACTTGCGCCTCCTCCAAGCTCCGTTTAAATTAGACTAAACCAGGTGCTAAACCATAAGTAGTGTGACGTTGCCAAATTAAAGCTTTCTTTTAGTTTAGGAAATCATGAGCAATCTGGCAACACCCCAGGAAATTTACAGAGATGACGCTCCAAATAAGAAGTCTCAACCCCTAGGACTTGTAATAACACATGTCGCTTTCCGTACTTCTGGAACGGCCCCTGCTAAGAATCGGGCAACATCGCATGGTTTTCCCAGGGATGACTTCCCAAATACGAAGTATAATCAATTCCATATGGCCTAAAATAACGTCCATATAAATATCCGATTCTTTGTGTTAGTCTAGACTGATACCTAATCGGGTCAATGGTTGTTGCGAAATCTGGAACAAATCTCCCATAAAAAACTACTCACTTTAGTTACCGTTCTCTTGGTCTTCGCAATAATAACATAAATTCAACGATAAAGCAATTTTGCATCAACCCTGGAGTCCGCGCCGATTGACGATATAGCACAAAAACATAATTTCTGGACTGTAGAACTAGGATTTTTCGTAACTTATCGTTTCAGTATTTAAAATACTTCCTCTATATGGAGAAGTTTCTTAAATGAAGGACTCACGATCATATCATCTCAAATACAGTTAAGAAAACCCCGGGATATGAGCCTCTTAATCCAGTTCTAGAATTCCATCTTGCTAATCTTGGGCGTTCTGAAGTCCAAGAGGCATTCTCCAAATAAACCTCTGCCAAAAAAAAAAAAAAACTCTTCAATGATCTTGATATCTGCTCGATTGGCACTTGCTGAAACGCACTTTCAATTTCAAGACTGGAAAGGTACTTTCATTTTGTTTCAATTTGTCAGGTAATGGTATTTGCTTGTGCCTTTTTTTTATCCGCACCATAACCACTGGTGATGTCCACGGACTGGAGCTCGTTCCAATATTGTCCATCTCCATCATGTGATCCATCTCCTAATCAATACATTTCTGAATTGTTAGTGACATTCTATAAGCTATCTGGCAAAATGGCGTAGAGTTCGTGATAATCTTGTGTTGGACCATATCCGTGCATCCCGAGGGACTGTTTCCTGGACTCATCACGGGTCAGCACATTGCGAAATTCACTAACACCTCTCAGGAAGTAAGAATTCTTCAAGAAATATTACTCTCAAGAAGCGACGTTGTTGAAACTTATTCGGATTTTACTTTGGAGATGCTCAAAAGTCTTCCCATTTCAATCTTTGGCAACGATTTCTAGGCAATGGTATAACATCAATGCACCGCCGTAAACGCCACTACCTGAATGGAAATATGATTTCCTTAACGAATGTGTTGGATTCGAATAAAATAAATCCATAGTATTCAACAGAGAAGAAATAATAATGTTGAAATTCACCTGAATGATGAGATGAAGTGGGAAAGAATATTCAGGTTTGGTGGAACGTGACGAAGGTATGTTAGCAGTGACGATATCGATGCAAACGTGCGTATTAACAAAAAATAATTAAAAGTGTTGCAGCTGAAGTGTCGTTGTTTCTGAAACTCGCATGGAAGAAAATATCGATCTATCTATCGCAAGTGCGGAGGCTCCGGCACCAAACACTCTCAAACAACTTTTTGTTAATAACATGGTTAACTTGGTTAACTAGAAGAGAGTCTGCACATTTCAATGTGTTGAAATGAACCCCTGTTAAACACTGCCAGCAAGAATTGTCGGGTATATAGGACTTCCAATACCCAAACAACACACTAGATATAATTTTCGCTGGTCGTCCAGCCAGTATATAACACCAGGTTGTTGCACAGAAAAAAAGTTAACTTTACTTTAGCAATCAATTTGCAAAATCGGCAAACTGAAATTTTACTATAAACATTTAAATAATACATAATAATTATATCGTTGTATTGTGTTTGATTTTAAATAAAAAGTCTTTTTTCGTGTGTTAAATATTTCATTTATCTCGTGCCGTAGGCATTTATTCATTCCGTACATGTATATGGCACCTAGCACAATCCTATTGGTCAGATTTAAAATTTAAACCAATTAAACTTCGAGTGCCAGACGCGCGTACGGAATGTAAATCAGTGCCATATGCACTTACGGAATGTCATACCTAGTTATTGCAGCACAAAATTTCGTTAAGCTGAAAACGAGTTAAGCGTCAATTATTCTTCAACTATAGGTATCTATTTTACATTACATAACAAACATGCGGTGTATCAATCCAAGTTTCGGTGAACAAAGAAAATATACATAGTATCAGAGCGAAAGCTGAAAGCGGTTTATTGAATAATATAACAAAACAAGAAAGCTTTATTCAAAATCAGTGAACTAGAAGTGCCAAATTCGTTATTTTTAGAAAGCATTAGATCAACAACATTCTGAAAGTCGATGGTCATGGTGAATTTGTCAAAGACACAAATTCTTCCACCCGTCTTCTACCGTCATTTTCAGTCATTAGGTTTGCTCCATATTTTCCAGGACTCTGGTCAAAATATTTATAATTCAAAGGTAGCAACGTTGTCGCAGCTTGCATGGTGATTTCAAACACTGAAATAACTACAAGCGATCTACTTAAAATAATGTCGGCGAAGCAAAAACTGCCCATTTCTTGTTCGAAACATTTTTGAGAAAATCGAAAAAGAGGACGCAACGCCGAACTCCAAAGAAGTACCTACCCTTCTACTACCTATGTATGCCCGACAATCACAAAAATAAAACAGGATATTTGGCCGCTGGGGACGTGATTTGCCTGGGCCTAACGCGTAACTATATAGGTATATTACAATCCGTAAGTGCATATGGCACTCATTTACATTCCGTACGCGCTTATGACACTCGAAGTTTCATTGGTTTAAATTTTAAATCTGACCAATGGGATTGTGCTAGGTGCCATATACATTTACGGAATGAATAAATGCGTACCGTAGGTATCGCCCTCCGGTAGTACATATAAACAAAAACCTGTATCCCTCCAACACAAACTCAAGATTTACAGAACATATCAAATGATTTAACTACGCTTTAGAACTAATACTGCGACATACAATACACATGCAATACACAGATCACAACCCCTGATTGACAAGACTTGAGTAATGCGTTCAAAAGCTTGTGATTTCTACCACCTAGGTACTTATATGTATATTACTGAACGTGCATTATTTGAAGAACGATTAATTAGATCGAATAAGACATGTGTTACAAGAATTTCTCACGTAGAAGGTGCAAGGCTCATGTTTGACACACCAACTACTTCGTTCAGAAAAAAGTGTGCGTCTAGAACTAGAGCGCGATTAAGACATCAACAAGAAAACACTGCCGGTAACTTTTTTGCAGCTTCATAAATTTGTTTTTGCTACAATAGTTGCAATAGGTAAGTTAAAAAAAAGTCAACGCTATCTTGTCTATTTCATAATTTTACATGGCCAAGCCTTTATATTTATCAGTTACATTTTGAATAGCAGTTAAAACATTATGATGAAGATTAGTTGTTTCCTCGAGTCTCGAACTTATTAAATCCATACTCCTGGCTTGCTTCGCGCTGGTATCGTGTTCGTACCACTTGTACTTTAGCCTAACCTTATGTCTTGCAATTGATTTAAGAATAAGCACAGTTACGTAAATGATAAAATAAACACTAAAGTAAAGAGGTATATACCATAATTTACGTCCCAAATAATAGTAACTGTAATGAGTACTGCTCACACGCTTATCTTCTTTAGCTGGTGCCATTGTTGGATGAGGAATTTCTTCGTAGACATGATGATGATTAAGATCATGATCGTATAAGTATTTTGGAAACTTATAATCACCATAATCATGAGAGGGCGAATCATCATTGGATTTTCCTTGGTCCATCATATCAGGCTTTATTATTTGATCGCCCTGAGGAATCATCTGATCCCCTTGCGGCACCATTGAAGCATCATCGGATTCATCCCCTTGGTGTTGCGCATCTGGACCCATATCAGGATTCATCATACCTTGGCCAGGAATTTGATCTTTAGGAAAATCGGATGGATAATAAACATCATCAAGACTTTTCGGAGGATGATCAGGAGCTTCATTATTATACTTGTACATTGCCATTGAATCTTGTGGAGGGTAATGATCTTGATAACCATGATGTTCATAACTGTCATGATCATGATAATCGTGATTACTGTAATCAATTTGGTTTGCTGGCTTAGACGGGGCCAAAGGCGGCCCCAATGAGGCATATGAATCTGGAATGGTTTTTACGGTTTCAGTCGAAGGACCTAAATCTTTTGTTCCAGTATCAGAAGTAGGTGAATTTATTGAATCGCCTTTGTTAGGTTCATTAGGTGCATATAAATTTGAAATAGTATCCGAATTATCTTGGTTGAACTTTGGAGGATTGTAAGATGTATACGGCGAATTATAAGGATCACTTAGAGAGGGAGCTGATAATGAAAGCGGTGCCGTTGTCGGAGCCGCTCCGGGTGCTGGTACAACAGGTTTTTTGCTCGCTGATGGTGTGCCGTAAACATCAGAAAGCTTATTTCTATATGCAAATAAGGGACGAGCCTCAAATCGATCTTGAGCTTGCTTCACGATTACTTCTCCAATGCCATCGACATGTTCAATGTGCTGGTCAATTTTTTCTTCAGGTTTTTGATAAACAGGATATTGATATGCTACTGATGGTGTGTTTTTCGTATTCATGGAGATAGATTTTGGATTTAACCTGAAATTTGAAATAGCGTGTCAATAATTATATGTTTTATTTTGTTACCAATATTTAAAAGTTAAAAACACAATACCTCTCCTGAGACCCCTAACAAGTAGTATTTTATAAGGGGTTTTTAAAAAAAAAAACGTTAAACAAAGATGACTATGATTTTTTAAAATATTCACTATTGTACTTTTCTCTTCTGTTGTAAACAGCAATTTCTCAAGCGATAATCTACTCGACGATCCCGCCGAACACTCTGGAAAACATATAAAAACTTCTGCGCATAGAAAATCTACACACTCGGGACAATACTCACACCATGACTGCAACGATTTATGTTCAACTAAACAAGAAATAATCAAAACATCAGAGCCGCCACAATCTGCAACAATTGACTATGGACTAGGAAAGTATCAGAATTGAGGCAGGTCTAAAGAAAAATTGGTATCCAAATCAACTCGTCGACAAAACTATAGAGCGACATCGAGCCGGATCTCGACCAACCAAGAAAACAAACTTCAATACTGTTCCTGTTTTACTTTTCATCTATATATAATCCAAATCACGAATAATATCATGTATTGTGTATCGGATAGCGTATGGTCACCTTGGGATTTTCTCAATGCTTATACAATTAGTGATAAGGGTATGATCCAGTTGAGCAAATCGTTTACTCGAATCGAAGCATCTAGTCGTCATAGTCCATCAGTTACCCAAATTGTATCAATGCATTAAAATTATTCTGTTTCTATAAAGAAATAACCTAATCAAATTTTCTATGAATCAAAACAGGTTTGTATCTCCATCGACCTTAGACTACCATGTTTCTTCAGATCATCTGCCCCTCATTTCGGGTCGACTGCGCAGACGGCTCTACCGTGACGACAGCTGCCCGCTGTCTTCACCTGTTTCCATCAAGTTGTATCCTTACCGACAACAGGGGAATTCTTTCTTCATGTTTCTCTACTTTTTAGGCTCAGAATAGAAGAAAATGACATTTGATAACTGCTGGAAATACCTATCTTTGGCCCACGGTATAACCTATGCCTGTCAGAAACAGAGACTAGAAGATTGGTGGTCTGACATACTGGCACGTAGGCGACAGGCGTATGATCGCCGTTCTGCTTGATGATAGCAGCTCGTGTGCTGTAACTGCGTCTGAGGTTTGCTATCCGGGATCCATTTGGCTTGCCCTGCATAGAGAGGGGGATAGAAGCCTAATTACTTCGTGACTGGATTACCGCGTCCAGAAGATACACCACATGTGATCGAAATAAGAAGAGCACACAAAAATTAGGTAGTTACCTATGTATAGCTACCTGAAATGTCTGATCGCTCATGGACACCAACAACAGTAATTGAGCAGCTGAAGAGATACAATATCGATAGCGCTGCACTAAGTGAAACAAACCGTGCGTGTAAGGCCAAGTCACAGGCGGAGGCTACCTTCCTTCTGGAAAGGAAGAATGAAGATGAACCAAGCCAACACATCCCTCATTCTGATGAATTTCCTTCTAGGATGACTCTCCGTCTCAAGCTTGTAAGCAAAAGCGACTATAGACAGTGCAAGCGCTCGAAGATATTATAAAGAAACATTCTATAGCCATCTAGATAGAATCTTAAAAACCATACCTTAATCAGAAAGATATATTTTGTAAGGAGACCTATTGCCCGAGTTGGCAGAGACTCTGCCCTCTGGGTGGCTACCAAGGAGACTTGAGCTATTTTTTCGCTTTCAATTTTTTGACATTGGCTCAAAACAGATTTGAAACACTATTGACTGCTTCAAACCTGTTTTGAACCAATGTCAAAAAAGTGAACGCGAGAAAACAGCTATAGGTAATCAAAATACGTATCCAATGCTTATACTGTTCGAATGCTCAGAGCACGATCTCGTCATCACAGATAGGTACTCTTCTTCGTTGACAGGATAACTAAAAACTACGCAGCAACATCCAAGATCGAATCATCACTAGCATCTCATCGTCTTCATTTTTGTACGCGCCAGAGAAAAACGTGACTTGAAAGTTACCGGAGCTCTATCTATGCTGATGTCTAGGTACTGGACTGATCAACGAATGGTTAGATCTGTAATGTCTTTACAATGCGACCAGACCGATGGAAGCCAAGGAAACAACTACAACGGAGGTTGCATATTGAGTGACTGGCGACTTAAAACAAGAAGAAACCAGAGAAAAACTTTCAGTTCCTATTTATTGAGTAATTGTCTGCTGAATTTTTCGAGAATATTGAACAGCACTTTCAAATGCTTAAACAAAACCGTTATGCTAACAGTCCAGCAACAATCAACAAGTTTTATCACAAGGAAGCATCAGTACCTATTGGTTTCACGCGAAGAATAAAGAAATTGAGAACATCGTAGGTCAGAAGAAGGGAGCCTACAAATTCAGCTCATAAAAAACAATCTTATCCTCAAGCAAAGGCAGAAGTGCAAAGAAGAAAAATAATGCTGAAGAAAGAAAAATGGACAGCGAAGTAAATCGAACTGGAATACTTAGCAGCACCATGTAACATCACCAGAGCATCGGGCAAAGGGGTACCTAGATTACTTTTAAATGTTACAAAATATGGCAAGAAGTTTTTAAATACTGATTTAAAATATACAAATATTATAATGCTTCAAACATCATACATTTTTATATTAGTCAATAAAAAGCCTATCAATATGTACCTACTCTATTAGAAAAATTATTTCTGTTGCAATCAAAAACGTACCTATGATTCCATGTGTTTTTACTTTCAGTATCTCTTGCTTCTGAAGAGTCGGTGCTATTATTGCCCCATAACGCAACTTTGGAATATTTAGAAATAACAGACGAATCATAAGGTAGACACTGGTTTAACTTTATAACACATATGATCAATGCTAAAGCATGAAGATATTTCATCTTGTAAAATATTATTGAAAATAGATAGAGCGATTGAACTTGTTGATACTTCTGAGTTAGATTAACTGCTGATTTATTACATATAAAGACTAGGAGAATACTTTTTCAGCCATCTTAACACCTACGAGGTGTTAATGAGTTCAAAATCGCTGTTACAGTTACTCATGTATAATCAATAAGATTATTTGACTTAGTAACCCATATCTATCATCATTTACTGTTGTTTTTTTCATTTACAAAGCAAATACTATATATTTCTAGAAACGATTGTATAGCTTCTTACCCATATTGTCATTGATATAAATTTTACCAATTCAAAAAAAAAAAATGAAAAGTGGCAAATCATTCGTTCTTGTGAAGTGGGCAATGGAACTGTTCAAAGCATTGCCATAGCCCAAATGTGAACTTACCGTCAACTTGTTAGGACTTCCTGCACAAAAAACCCTACCTATGTTGCCTACGTAAGGATAATTTTCTCCAAGGCTCTTAGAGAAATGCTGTTAGCTTTGCCGAATATTGTTGGAGCAATGATAATGTAACAATTCATAGGTTCGAGACACTTTCGACATTCTGATGGAGACCAACATTAAAACATCCAAATACATAGATACTTTCTAATAAGAGAACTGATAAAAAAATCAAATAGGAACTTAATATCACAGAGTGTAGTACTTACATTCAATTTCTGTAATACACAACTAATAATAGTACAGTCAAAAACCGTCAGAAATGTATTACATAAAAAATCATTGAAACATAAGCAAAAACGATATAAATCGCTTGCATTTCATTAAATGTGGCTCATTTCATTCATGGCGTTGGAAATTAGTTAGTAAGTAGTTAATAATTTGTTGTGACGTTTTCATATGATTCAATAAAACCATTCAACCAATCTATAACCTGTTAAAGTTTTATTTTATAGCCGCGACCGAATTTCCAGCTGCAGTTTCAGGTAAATACAAATATTCGGTCCAATTTTACATTTTACTTTTGAACTTTTTCCTCTTGGAAAGCAATTCACATAAGTATTATAGAAAATCACACAAGTTCAGTTCACAATCTACAATTCTCCTGAGAATAACCTAGGTTAATTTACGATTTACTCCCAACAATAATTAGGTACCATAAGAGCTTCTGATTGGAAATAGGTAAGTAGCAATATTATCAGCGACACCAGTAGGAAAAGGAATAGGAATAGGAATATTCTACTAGATTGGATCGTCCAGAAATTTTATCTTAAATAAAGACATCAGCTTTTTCTTCCACAAAATCAACGGCTTTCTTTGATCCCAACCCTTAGTGAAATTCTTTAAGTTCTAGGAATAAGTGTGCTCTATTTGACAGAGGCTCCACGTTTGCGCATCTCACTACTCGTAGAGCTGGTGTGCTGGTATCCACTACCTCCTCTTTCTTCATTGTCACCCGGCTTGTGTTAAGCTTGGCTACTCCCACTGGAAGAAGTTTGTTGGAGCTGACTGGATAGCCACAATGGTTCCATTCTTGATGTCGTTGGTTCCAATACTATGCTGTTCACACCTTCTAGGTTACTTTTCTGGGTGAGCCAACACGATTGTCTCACTATTCCCACGAATTTCGTGATCTTCGTTGAATATTATTTGAAATTGACAGCCTTTATTTTAAGATGAAGAGAAATATATTTCTTCGTTGCCCACTCTCAGAAGTTTATTTTTGAAGTCTACAGATAGGAAATCGAAGGTAATACAGACTCATCTACGTCAGCAATTCTATGACTTCTACCTTCAGTTTGGTGCTGCCTGTTCCCCATGTCAAGGTGATGTCTCCAAAAACATGTATTAATTTTCTTTTAGCTGATTCCGGTAGTGGGTTATTCCTTAACATTTTCACAGAAGCCTTGCAACCATTGTCAGGGCGTACCACTGATATTGAGGCCTGGGTTTGTCAAATAACTAGCTGACAGTTGAGGCCCCAGTAGCACTACAATATTGGTAAAATATTATATTTACATATCGGCCCAACGATGGAAACGTCAGATTTTTTTTTTATTGTAAATGAGGGAAATGGCTGTGTGCACATCAACGATGTAGAGAAGAAAAAGACAAGGGAGACCCCAGTGTGTATTCTGTGCATAAATTTTATTGAATAGCAGAGCGCTTTCTAGGCCATCTTCAGTGCTTCCTGAAAGTAATCAAATAACCTGAATGAGATTTTGAAGGTTGTAACTAGTTGAGTTGATTAGCTAATCGGTTATTACTTACTTTGTCAGGAGTACATCGAAGTCAGAAATTGTAAAAGAGCACCACATACTTAATGGAACGAACATACATTTAAATTATTGCAAAACATTAAACATTCAGGTGTAAAAACATTTAGGTGTAAAAAGGGGGCCCTAGGGCTGAACCATGGCAATTACATTAATTAGTTTGGTCTCAGACAACGTGTTCTTTTTCGTTTTGTAATTAATGCTGGATGACACAGGAAGAAAGTCAGCTGATTTTCAAAGACTAACCGCGCAAGTGTGAGCTACGAGGGCAACTCCAAAATTGCAGTTCAAAAAATAAGAATTTCGAAAATCGTTTAAGTTTTCGTTTTTTATAAATAGAGCCAGACTAAATTTTAAAAACAATAACTCTATTGTATTTGTTACATTGTTTTTTTTATTGGCACAATGTGTATTTCCAATATGAATCCGTTATCGAAGATACAGATTGGTACAATATATAGTTTATATATAATTTCGATATTGAAGATAAATATTGTCCCAATATTACGAATGAATATATATATATATATATATATATATATATATATATATATACCGGGTGTCTACGAGATCAGTTTCGCACTGGCATTTGCTGGTTTTTTTCTCGATGGCAAATATTTTTGGTATGGAGTGTAGGTTTGAGAAATGTCATCTTTTGACATGTCTGTTAATGTTTGGTAACTTCCGGTTTGACCGGAAATGGTCCTAACTCCGTAATTTTGAATAGCATCCCAATAATTTTTTCGCATTTTTGGTATCTACGGGTCATGATGTGTACGAAAACGTCAAATTTGAACATTTTTGAAGAAATTTTAGAACTCTGGATGAAAATTTATTTTTGAACAGAAAGTGACGGACCGGTCCTAAAATTGTTATTTTCAACCCACACAATGGTAGAAAAATGCGAGTGCCAAGATGTTATCCTTTGCTTGCTCTCCAAAGGCATCCAAAGTTGAAAAAATCACATTTTGCGTGATAACTCAATAAAATCAGTGAAATCACCCAACTTTCACAACAAGATTTTTTTACCTTTTTCAAAACAAAACCAACTATGCATTGAAACTTTTCATTTATGTTAGTTTTTAATTATTTTCTTATTATTTTTATAATGCACTACTATAAATGTTAAAACTACTTATAAATGAACCCCTGTATGAAGAACGCTTTTCAAAAGGAGCTGGTGTTTTTTTTTCTTGACAAGCCATTGACAAGATCTGTGGGCAAGAGGCAAGATATGTTTATTCGTCATTGTTTGACATCTCGGGAATTTGTAAATACAAAGTTTGAATACAGGGGTTTATTTATAAGTAGTTTTATCAGTGATAGTAATGCATAGTAAAAATATTGGAAAAATAATTAAAAACTGGCATGAATAAAAAGTTTTAATGCATAGTTGGTTTTATTTTGAAAAAGGTAAAAAACATTTGATATGAAAGTCGGGTGATTTCACTGATTTCATTGAGTTATCACGTAAAATGTGATTTTTTCAACTTTGGATGCCTTTGGAGAGCAAGCAAAGGATAACATCTTGGCACTCGCATTTTTCTACGATTGTGTGGGTTGGAGATAACAATTTTAAGACCGCTCCGTCACTTCCTGTTCAAAAATAAATTTTCATCCAGAGTTCTGAAATTTCTTCAAAAATGTTCAAATTTGACGTTTTCGTACACATCATGATCCGCAGATACCAAAAATGTGAAAAAATTATTGGGATGCCATTTCAAATTACGGAGTTAGGACCATTTCCGGTCAAACCGGAAGTTACCAAACATTGACACACATGTCAAAAGATGACATTACTCAAACCTACACTCCATACCAAAAATCTTTGCCATCGAAAAAAAACTCACCAAATGCCAGCGCGAAACTGATCTCGTAGACACCCGGTATATATATATAAATATATATTTCTTTTAAACGTAGCCCCAATATTTGTTTTTCAGATCGGCACAATATATACTTTATTTATAGGCACAATATACGTTGAAATATTGGATACCTTCCTATATATAGAGGGCATCCATTCCAAAACTTGTCACCCACGTCATCTGAGTTCTGAACAAAGAGACAGACTTGTGAAAATCGCCAACAAACCCATTGAGGAGGAATTTTTGTTCTGTAAATCATTCCCTCAATAAATTTGCTGAAATGCGATTTCCACAAATCTGTCTCTTTACTCAGAACACAAATAACGTGAGTGGCAAGTTTTGAAATGAAAGCCCTGTATATATGTATATTGAATTGAATTAATATCGGGTAGCATGGCGTTTCCAACGTTTGACCAATACGTAAGCATAATACGTTATTATTTGGTACAAAAAATAGTGAAGACATTAATATTGTTTCGTACAAGTTTTTTCAAATTATAATAAGCGTATTCGGACATTTTCTAAAAATGCAAACGATTATAATAATATAGTCAAATTTATAAGGTAATTATTATATATACTCACATCGCAGGGTATCATGATAAATGAGGTTTATTCATCAACAAAATTCGCAAATTCTTTGGGCTAATATGTTGATTTTCCAAATACAGAAAAAAAGTCTATATTCAAATATCGGCAAAACATATTTGACCAATATTGGTCCAATACGGTTACTCCTAAAAATACTTTTATAGATATTATGCGTTTATGAAATTACATTAATTTTGGAAATACGTACCTATTAGTCTAAATGTGGTTTTCCTTTTTCCCTCACTTTAAAATTAGGTATTAAAATTGGATGAAAACAGCAGAAATTATTTTGTTAGGTAGTAATAGGTATAGGTTAACGGTTAACGTTAACTGCTGCATGCGAATGTCACAAAATACAAAATAATTTATAGCATGCAACTGGAATATACAGTTACTTACCACTTTTTTGCGCTGCGCTGCACTTATTCTCACTAATAACTGATAACACCTGATAATGAGGGATGATATGAACTGAAGTGAACTATTTAATTTCAATACAAAATGTCTACCCTCGTTGTTGCCGCGCCGCGCTTGCGCCCAGCACCAATAATAACATGAGACTGTCGCGCCAAATGGTAGCATTCAGAAGATTATATTCAAGCCCTTGAAATTCATATCTGTTGTCATAATAAATATTTCGCAGGTGCACATTACATTTCAAATCTACTTTTTGGATGTTCGAGTATTTTTAATAAATATTGGGATAATATTAGGTAAATATTTTATATAAAAAAAAGAAAAGGGTAAATCTCGCACATATCACCAATATTCTGTAAATATCACATCTAAATATAATTAAAAACTATTGCCAAATATGTCTTATCAATGTTGGATCCATATTGGATAAACATTGTATAATAATATAGGAAAAACGTACATCTCCTATATATTACCAATTTTGGATAAACATTACATAATAATATAGGAAAGAGGTAAGTATCTCCTATGTATTACCAATATTGGATAGATATTAGATATAAATATGAATAAAAGCTATTGCCAAATATGTTATATCAATGTTGGATACATATTGGATAAACATTATCTAATAATATATGGCAAAGCTACATCTCCTAATATATTACCAATATTGGATAAATATTACATATAAGTATAAATAAAGGTTATTTCCAAATATGATTTATCAATGTTGGATCAATATTGGATAAACATGGTATTACAATATAGGAAAAAGGAACATCTCCTATATATTACCAATATTGGCTAGAAATTGCCAATATTGGGCCATCGTGCAATATTTCACCAATATAGAATCAATATTGTGCCAATATAGTGTGCTACTGGGGGGGCGGGTGCCTTAGGCGACGAGAGTTCCGCAACTTGTATTGATGGAAATAATCTTTGCGGGCTTGGGACTCAGTGGTCACCAGCGTTCAACCCTCATACTCACGAGTTTCCCTGATGTCTGAAGCCATATTCTTCCTCTGCATCGCGGTCTCCTGAACGGGAACGTCGCCTACCCATAATATGTTCTTTTCGTCGCCGATGTAACATTTCATTAGTTTGCTGGTACTTGATTCGTGCTCTACCTTCGCGCCGTAGGTACTGGTACTATCACAAGTACGGCATATTTCCATTCCATATAGATACCAAAAAAATAGAAATAGAACCGGTAGACCGTCGATTTTTTGACGTTTTCTCCTTGTTTCTTAACGAGCACCCACTAATAAAAACATAAGTGCATGCAATAACATGATTGCCAAAACATAAGTGCATGCAATAACATGATTGCCAACTTCCCGTTGCTTTGAAAGCTGCTTTAAAGTTGGAATACACTGGCACAATTGAGCACAAAACGGGCACAATTGACTACAATTGAGAAACAGTAAAAAACCAAATGTGGGGGCCAACTTGACCGAACTGGCTAATAATTATAAATTTAGGTATTAATTCATGTAAACCATCTAATATTCAAATTATCATTTAATAGACGACATCGGGAGAAACCACTTGTATATAACTTCTCAGCATGTAGTTGGTCTCTCATGGACTTGAGAAGAGATAACATGAGAGACAGATGCAAAGCAAATACTGGTGTGTCTGAGGTGGTTTGAGTCCTATCTTTCAGAGAGGATGGTTGCTTTTGCCAGAAAAAGGTCTGATCTCGGTGGTGTGGTGTGTGGAGTGCTTCAGGGGTCAGTTCTTGGACCAATTCTGTTCCTCTTATATGTTAATGACTTACCTACCCTGGATATAGGTGGCAAATTTAAACTCTTTGCGGGCGACACGTCCATTCTTTGGCACGGGATTGACTCGGAATTTCCGAATCAGCTGATTCGCACGGATTCAATAAAAGATTAAGGACTGGTTTGATAGTAATTTGTTGACCATTGATATTGAAGAAACAAAGCTATTGAGATTTAAATGTACCTTAAATCACATCCAGTTGGGCTCATTACCTACCTACTTATTAACAGTCTGTAAAACGTTAGATTTCTGAGTACCTATTGGCCTGACTTTTGCAACACTCATAGAAAAACTGGATGCAAAACTATCCTCTGACTGTTATGCTTTAAGTTCTGTAGCGAAGGAACTAGATTTCTCTGCTAGAAGGATGGTTTATTTTGCTCTCATTGAGTCACCCAAGACATGGGGCTCCTTTTTGGGGCAGTGCAGTTGTTTAATGCGGTGTTTGTGTTGCAGAAGAGAGCTATGCGTTTTTTGTTTGGTATGAGAGGTAGAGATTCTTGTAGGCCAGTTTTTATAAGAGAGGGTGTAATGACTCTTCCATGTCTATTGAGGCCAGTGTGTGCCTGGTCTTTAAGAAGTACCTACCTATAAACATTCTGTCACTGAAGATCCCATTTCTCTGCCGATTCCGAGAGCGGGCCGGATAAGATAGTAATTTATTTACAATGCCAAGAGAATGTTCAATCATCTTCCTGTTGATATAGAAAGTATTCAAAATTTTCCCTAATCCTTGTTTTATCATTTCTAGACTCCATTCCCGAAATTTTCAGCTAATATTATAATTATTGTCAAATATTGAAAATGGAAATGAGACGCGGCCAATTTTTTCAATGCTTCCAGACAATTGTTGAACACCTAAAGCAGTGGTTAAATATTTTTAATAAGTTATCAGCTCTGTATTATCAACAGTAACAATTTGGCAACTTTAGTATTTCTGTTAAACTGACAGAAAATTGAACCTAGAAATTCTAGGCTCAATTTTCTAGTTTAGAATTTTTTTTATAGAAATTTGATGGATTTTTAGTTGCAACCCTATCTAAAACTTGTTAATTTTTAATAAAATGAAGATAAAATAATAGTAGCCCCAAAGCTTTGAGTAGGTATTGATAAAGAGTCCGGTTTAAAAAGACACTTCAAGATTTAAGTTGATTGAAAAAATTCCTCAAATAGTATCTTTTAATATGGATAAATTTTTGCTCTTTTTTGTGCCAAGACCAAAAGTTTCCGAAGCCATACTCAAACGAGGTTACTGCCTCGGTTTAGTTTTCATATTTTACATGTGGTTCATAATCTAGTTCTATTATTTGTTATAAAAATTATAACCAGAAGTCATATTGTCCGTTAAGTTAACATGTACCAAATAAGAGCAATTATCACTTTTTTATTGCCAGCTTCCCATCTCAAAATAGTGACAACTTTAATTTACAATCGCTCCTATTTACAGATCGAAAACAAGATTAAATTAAAACGGAAAAGGTTTCCTGTGGCATTTTCTGGATCATTCCATCATATTTAAATACCTAAATACGTTTAAAATGTATTTGAAGGTGCCATATTTTGTTGTTTCATTAATAGTTTGCTTAGAATCCATTCATTGTGCAATTGTGTCCATTTCTGAAACTACTGATTCATCAAGGGCAGTTGCGACAACTGTAAAAATTGGACCAACTTCAGAAAAAACGCCGTAAGTACTCATTGAATATTTATATTGCAATAATAATTTAATTCGAAAACAATAATGATAGTAGGGTAACCTCTGAAAGTGCTTTAATATTTTGTAGTATCCTATTACATACATACTCACTAACATAATTCCGGATTTGGACTAGGTAAGAAATGTTCATGTTATAGAAAAAGTAACTTTTTCGAAATCAAATTGTCTTGTAGATATATCTTTGAAAAATGAACTGTTCAGAAAATGCAGAGAGAATAAAAATTTTAATTTTTAAATAATTTAGATAATACATGGGGTTAAAATATGTTTTCCAGGCACTTTGGATAATATCAGCAGTTTCTTCGATCCTTGAGTTTTAGAGAGTTCATGAGATGAGTTTTTGATTAGGAAAATCCGTGATGAACAAAATCCACAGGCCAAAGTCATCCGACGTTTCGAAATAAAATATTCTCTTTTGCAATTCTGGTCAAAATGAGCCACCGCACAGACGTACAGGGGCGAGTTCAGAAATAACACACCAGGTGTGAGTGCGATTTTATGGGTGTGACTGAAATGACAATTCTTAGGCGACAACTTTCGTATGAATTTCTGAACGCTTGGTGTGACCAATCGAGCATCTCCTCAAAAATGTCACCAAATGTATTAGGATTACTTTTTTTTATTGTTCATTTTTTTAATTTGAAGAAAACACTTCAATTCTAATTTGTGTTTTGTTTCTATTTGGTGGGAATAATGAGATTATGGGAAGAACGGTTGACATTGTTGACATTAAGACACAGCCACACCGCAGCCACATCAAAAAATTATGGTGTGACTGGTGCGACACCTGGAGCGCGCCCGAAGTACTTTCTGAACGGAACAGAGTGCGCGCACTCGGTGTGTCTATAGCATTTATGAACGGCTAGTGCGTCGCACCGGTGTCACACTCACACTGAGTGTGTCATTCCTGAACTCGCCCCAGATAAACACATAGGGGGCTTTAATGACAGAACATAAATTTCAAATCTGTCAGTTCTGTGGTCTGATTGGTTGATTATTTTAATTTCGTCTGCAAAGAAAAAAAAACTCACATCAGAATTGGCGCAAATTTGGCATAAATATTCTTTGATCGATTACTAGAATCAGAATATTTTTGTTTTCCGATTTTTTGCTTTTTTCTCAAAATGAAAAATAATTTATGTGTATATCTGGTTGCCTATTTTCCAGGGTTTAAGAAATAACGAGGTTACGCAAAAAAAAAAATCGGAAAACCAAAATGATGATCGCTCCAAGAATATTTATGCAAAATTTGAGCCAATTCTAATGTAAGGTTCCTTTTTTTCTTTGCAGAGGAATTTAACAAAATCAGCCAATCAGAACTGACAATTTTCAACTATTTCATGCGAACATCCTGCAGCTACCAAAGGTAAATCGAAATGAACACAAACATTATTTTCAAGAACAGTTCCTAACAAAAGTGAGGATACACAAATTATAAAGTTCACAGAAATAATAAGCGCATGATATTATTGAATATTACCAGAATCCCGAATTAAGTTCAATATCAAAGCTCTTTTCGAATTTAGGTAGAATAAATAATAATTCATCACCAGTCATGTTAACTAAATATTTTGCTGAAACAAATGAGTTCGTTACCTCAACTAGTTAAATCAGCACTGATATATGTTACCATTTTTTTACAATCTTAGACAACTCAGAGCCATATGCCTCTAAGATTAAAGCCAAAATCTCTTTATAATGTTAATTTAAAATTTCTCTTAGATACGAAAAAGGTTTAGAAGATTATGACGAAGCGAGAGAAAATATGCGAAAAGCACGAGGCATGCCCAATTATGATGATGAAATTATATACCATGACGATCATCATGACCATCATTATACAACACCAAAACCTAAAGAAGAACCAAAAGCGGCAGTAGATGATCCATGGGAGGGTTATTACGATTTTATAATTAATGAAGGAAGTTTCAAATTTTGGGCTGCATTCCAGGTATGTATTGCAAAGAAGCGAGTATTTTTACCCATACTCCAGGTTAAAAAATAATTACGAACTACATAATGTTTGTAACCATTTTTGAGGTAGTACCTATTGCATCTTCTAGATTAGGCGTTACCTACTGATTCTGCTCTCGTTTAACGAATTTGATACGTTGTTAAATTATTCAGGGTTTTGAATCTGCCGAAGTATTTATGTCTATATCCTGATTGGCAAATTGATAACTCTGATTAATTAAACAGCTCATCATATTGTGTCTTAGCGCCCTCCATGAGGTTATTGAAATTTTATTTGATTTGATTCAGTGGTTCAGCCATTGGAAAACAGGAGTCATGCTATATAATATTTGAAAATATCTAAAGATACCTACTCCGACATAAAAATATATATTGGGTGTTCAAAATTGTATTTAAAAAATGACACATTTCAAACCAATTTTTCTCATATTTTTCAAGTAGGATACCCTCTATATTATTTTACCATTGAAAGGTCGTTGTACAGTGTGGGCCAAATGTTTTGCATTTTGCATCATGGGGATTTTTTTTTTTTGGAGAGCATGATACACTATCCTATGAAACTAAAGGAGGCCGAAAGAAAAGAAATAAAAACAATAGGTTTGATAATACAAATCATCTGTTTATTTCAACATAGAAATAATTATTATAATTATGTTAGTTGTTAGCTAGGGTCAGCCATAAAAGGACTCCGCACTTAATTGGACCATTGAAAATAGGTTTTGGTCAAAATGTCTGAATTTTTTATATACTATGTGACAAAAAAAACACGCATCACTTATTAAAAGTGTATATTTTTCAACAAATTTTCTTCATATGTTAATGGTGTAAAAAATAACAGTTGTTACTTTATTTTTATATTTTTTATTAAACTAAATTTCACTTTTAATAGCCCAAGCATACCTACAGAATTTGGTTAACAAATCTTTATACTTCTATGGGGTGATGCGTTTTTTTTTGTCACGCAGTATATGTTGTAGATCGAACCTATATTTGAATATATCTTATGGGAGATGCATCATGCTCATCTTTCATTAGACATTTGTAGTGGTTTCGTTTGTAAACAGTTTATTCAAATACTATAGATCTGTTCGCACGTAAATCACAAACCAGTCAGAGTGAATTTCATTGATTGAAAACAGTCAGAAAGCTAAATTCAACCAATGAAATTCACTCTGACTGGTTTGTGATTTTTGTGCAAACAGACCTAATATAAATCAATTCAAGCTTTTTTTGATACATGGCCATTCAAAAGTTATTGCTAATTAATTTCAAGTTAAGATAAAACAAACAACAGTTCGCAGAAACAAAACATCCTTACTTACTTTTTTGATTCTCGTGAGTGATTTCAGACTGTGCTGGGAAGAAAACTTTTGACATTACATTGTATACTCAAGTAGCTCGTCTCAACATGAATAAAAGCAACATTATTTATAATAAACATGATAATGGTTGATAAACATTATGCGAAATAGATTTTCAATTTTAAACAATTAATGTAAAAGATCAAAAAAGAAAAAACAAAAGCAAACTAAGTGCGAAAGTAAAAAGCAAAATTACGTAATAAAACTACCTAAATATGTTTGATTGATTATTCTGTAATAACACATAGAATAAAGATCTCAACATAAAATATCTAGGTATAAAGATCTATAATTTTGATAATGCTCAACACTCAAAACTGGGTTGGAACCTTTCGGTTGTTAGCAATGTTAACAATGTTAGCAATGTTAACATCTTCTATAATAGCTATTAGTTTGCAAGAGCCTGCGATACATTCAGATTTAGGAATATACTAAATATTGTCTTGATTGTGAAATCGATTTGAAACATCTCGAACATTTTCCAAGAGAGAGTGGGTTGGAAACCTAATGTTCGTCGAATGCCTAGAATATCCCAGAAAGCAAATAACGCTAGTTATGTGTGCACACATACCCACTTTGCATGTGCAGTAATGGCCAGTTAAGTTAAGAGAAACAAACAATATGTATTAAACAAAAAGAGTTTAATTGATTTATGAAGTATTTAAATAAATACACTACAAACCAAACCACTGCAAATAAAATAAATAAAAAGTGCCCACCCTATACATTTGCCACAGTTTCAGCGTTTCAGTCTTAACGGCTATACCAACATATGTAAGTATATTCTAAACAATTATGTCTAATAAACTGTAGTCCAATTATGCCTTAGAATGGTTTGTTTTTTGTGTTCTAAAGCCAACTTTTCAAGGCGACGTTTGCAATCGGACTCATTCGTACGCCTATGGATGGCCGTAGCTCCGAAACGACTCGAGGGCCCCCCAGTTTTTTTGCCAAAATTCGATCTACAGACAGAACTACAACATATAAAAAATTCAGACATTTTGATCGAAACCTATTTTCAATGGTCCAATTGCGGGGTTCTTTGCTAATCTATTGGAACGAGTTTCTTGTCGGTTCGAGCAAAGTAAAATTCTATGTACAATGAGACCAAAAGAAAACATACATTTTCTAGATCTAGTTTTGTTATTATCTAGAAAATTTCTACCAACACAAGTTACCTAAATGCCCACGTACAATGAGGCAGTTGCGCAAGGAGCAAAAAAAAGGTGTATGTAGGTACTCAAATATAAGTTATTATTCTGGAAAAAACAAAGAAATTAGTAAACTAAAATTGCTAATTTACCTAATTTATTCCAAAATAGAATCGAACGAAACTAAATGAATATGAGACAAAAAAAACTATCTCAATATAAAAAATTTATTCTAAAATGGAATTAAAAAACTAAAGACAAAAGAGATTTAATCAAATCTGTCCAGAATGCGTTATGTATTTGAATAGAAAGACATCAATGAACGTAGATAAAGATGAAACCCTGACCCTAATTGAACTAAACCCAGGATTAGAAAATATACCAATACGGCTTTCACTCCGTATCAATTTATTGGGAAACCATAGGTACATAACAAAATACATATTGAATATTTCACAAACAAAACCCAAATGATGAAAACAAACCAAAATCTAACAGAGGTACAGGGTGTTTCCCCATATACAGGGTGTGTGGGCAATCTCTTGGATTCAGATAGAACACAAAAAAATAACATGACAACTTCCTATAAAAAAAAATTCCTACGGCCCCCTCTACGAAGTTACGTGCCCCTAAAGGACGCCTCTGAAAATCGGTTTTTTGTTGATAACTTTCAAAATACTTCGTGTAATTTTTTTTTCTTTTAATATGATGGATACTCGATAAGACCCCTTAAAATGGACTCTCTCAAACACACTTGACCAATCTAGTTTGCCAGGGACGGACTAGCTTTAACGCAATAATGACAATGAGGAAATATTAGTAGAAAGGATTAATTTTCACTGTCGCGGAATGAGGGCTAATATTGAAGCATTGTCGAGAGTCGAACAATCTTTCATTAAAATGGGTATGGAATGCATAAGATTAGAAGGATCTCATGTTGAGTCGACATAAAAAATTATTTAATAAAAAAACATTAATACACAAAAACAGATTTTTCTCGAAACCAGCTTATTTTTTCGACATCGAATAAGAGTACCTTTTTTCTAGTTCAAGGTTGGAACTATCTAAAAATATTATTGCTATGCCTATATCATACAGGGTGTGAAAAAAATTAGCATTATTGTGTTAAAGCTAGTCCGTCCCTGGCAAACTAGATTGGCCAAGTGTGTTTGAGAGGGTCCATTTTAAGGGGTCTTATCGAGTATCCATCATATTAAAAGAAAAAAAAAATTCACGAAGTATTTTGAAAGTTATCAACAAAAAACCGATTTTCAGTGGCGTCCTTTAGGGGCACGTAACTTCGTAGGGGGGGCCGTAAGAATTTTTTTTTATGGGAAGTTATCATGTTATTTTTTTGTATTCTATCTGAACACCCTGTATATTGACCCCCCCACTACAGGGGTTATATGAAGAGATATCAAAAAATTGTAAATACCTACAAAAGTTTTGGGGTTTAACCTGAAATTTTTGAATCCGATGTCAAAAATTTTTCGTTTTTTTACAAATGTCAACTTTTGACAGATGGTTAGTTATATACAGGGTGTCCCAGTAAGGTCGGCCAGGTACGATATTATGGAAACCATAGACCTTACAGCTTCGGGATTTTTTTTTTCTTCACTAAATCGGCCAAGAGAAATTGATGGAAATTATTTTTGAGTTTCTAAGATGACCGCTAGGGGGCGCAATTACGATGATATAGCTAAAAATTCAAATTTTCTCAAGAAATCGCTATATTAAGATACTGTTTTAACAACAGAAATCAAAAGTTCATTAATTTTTGCGCCAGTTTGGTTATTAGGCTTTTTCCGTATCTTCACTAATATGGGTGAGGGAAGCTGGTGAAAAAATAGTTTTAGAAATTGCTGTATCTTACATATCCCTCATCCAAGCTCATTCAATTTGGGCTTATTTGGAAGAGAATTTCATTTTTATTAAGAACACCACTTCGTTCGGAGTCGATAGTTCCCACCGCGTCTTCTAGAGGGCGTTGTTTATCCAAGATCCAGTTTTTTCTAATTTTCATGAAAAATCCAAATGGCATGATATTATTTTTTTATTGTTGTGCTTGAAGAGCAAAAAAATATCTACATTTTGGCGCAAACCGCAATACAATATCTGCATTCGTTTTCAAGTTACGTAAGGTCTACGGTTTCCATAATATCGTACCTGGCCGACCTTAGTGGGACACCCTGTATATATGGTTCAACTACTTGTAATTAATCCGTTTTGGAAATATCGGGCTTTAGGAACACTTTATGAAAATAATCGAAACACCGGTGCATTGTTATTGTTTGACACGACACAGGTCTTTCAATAATTATTTTCTTGAAGTTTAGAGCCTGATATATCCAAAACGGCTTAATTAAAAGTAGTTCAACTATATATATTTGAAATCAGAAAATTTTACTCTTTTCAACCGTGAAGTCATGTGTAGGGCATTTCATAAGAAAAAACTGACCATCTGTCAAAATTTGACCATTCTAAAAAAACAAAAAAGTTTTTGACATCGGCTTCAAAAATTTCAGGTAAAACCCCAAAGCTTTTGTATTTACAATTTTTTGATATCTCTTCATATAGGAAATCCCTGTAGTGAGGGGGTTAATACATGGGAAAAAACGGTAGGTACCTAATAAGGATAGTTGATAAATGGAAGTTAAATGAAGGTAAAATAGGTAAAGAAAATGAGAAAATGTAAAAGTGGAGTAGTTAAAGACGACGTAAAGGTGGATTAAAGTTATGGCTAAGATAAATCAGGTAAAGATGAGGCCTGCAATGAGGAGTACCTATAATTCAAAAAGGGACACACATGAATTAACTCGATAAATTGAAAAACAAAATAACCTCCAGACGACCAAGCTTTTTTCATACATGAATGATCAAAGGGGCTCAAAAATGACCCTATTATTAATATATATTATGTTTGTTATATTGTTTAATTGAATAAAGTAAGAAACATTTTTCAAATAGGTATACCAAGAAACCAGTAAAAAGTAAAAACATCATTCTGAACCTACTGACGTAGAAACGTAAGTATAAGTAAACAAAATTGGAAAAAAATGGAAGCAGGTAGTTTAAGCCACAACAGGAGCTACAATAGCTATTTATGTAATCAGTTACAGTAAGCCTATTTTTGTTTAATGAGTGGACGCAAACAGGTTAAAATTGACCCCCATTGGTCATCCAAAGGTTAATAACTATACTAACCAACAACTTAAAATTGATGAAAGACTTGACTACTTGACCGACAAGGTAGAAATGAAACAGATCTCGGTAGCTCAGTTGGAAGAGCACTGCATATGCGAGGGTCCGATCCAAATCGATCGGATCCAAAACGAGGCAAGAAAATTTTTCATCAATCAATTAAAGCGTCAGCATCCCACTAAAATCCAACACACTTTTAAATCCCTGGCGGTGGCGGATTCACAAAGCAACAATCCGCCCCAGATCATCAAGTGAAATGGAGTTATTTTTTTTTTAAAGTTTGAACTTAGCATCAGTGCTAATAGTTATTTAACGAATAAGTATTATTATTATAATTATGTTCCTGTTCCTATTTATTTATTAATCATGTACTTGTGTAGATTGAAAGAAAACGACACTAATTATAAAATAGCATCTTATATTGAATTATCAACATAAAAAAAATATGTTAACGATAAATTGTAAAAGTATATTTAATCCAAAAAATGGACTTTGTAGAAGTCAACATTTTAATTAGCACAAAGTTCATTTAAAACAATGTTGAAATTATTTTAGATGTACATACCTAGATAGTAACAAAAAATAAAGAAATTAGGAACCGCCCTTGGGTAAAATCAATTTAATAAAAACAATATATGAGGAGAAGTTTTAATTATTAAACCATATTATTTCCAGAAATAAAACTTAGTTAATATTAAATCTAAGTAGACGTAATGTTTTTATGTGAGCCGATGAAACAATTTTCAATTTTTTTTTTTTAGCTTGTAACTGCCGCCCTTTTGATTTATTCGGCTTTCGCTGCCGTATACTATGCAAAATTCAACGTAATTACAACGGATTACGATTATTATGATGATTTTTATGGAAGAGGTCGTGCCAATACTGAAACAAGTGCATGGTCGGGTTTGACATCTCAAACGTTCCAGAGGATAATGGATGCGTTATCATCAAAAAAATTTACATAAGTTATGAGATGAAAATAAAATGTGTTTTTCTTTATTTTATATTAATTATTTGAATGTTTTCTTATTATTAGGAGATGCGCAAGAGAATACAAAAATCCTTCAGAAGAAATTTGTTTCGACAACTTTACCAAGAGATATTACAACAGACGGATTTTTCTTTTGTATTATTTTGCCTCTTCTCAATTATTTTAATAACGAATCTGCGCAAAAAAAGCGTATGTCTTAGCAATATTTTCCTATCATCATCATAGGCGATCACTCGATACCGAGTATAATTATTATCTTCTTATTCTTGTGGATTGTGCGTTTTTTGATGGCTAAATAAACCATTTCTGGAGCCGCACACTCTTCCACAGTCTTGGCACATCCAGTCTCTAACAGCATTGTCCCTTCCTCTTTTCTCTCGCTCCTTCCTCTTCCTGCTGTCCCTTTTTTCGGTCTCGTGTCTGCGTCGCTGTTCTTCACAAGTTTGTGGTCCGTCGTGGACTACTCGAGCCATGAGGGCGTATCATTTGCCGTCGTGTCCCAGTTGTTGGTATATTGATGCGGCGCTATGGCCATATAATATTTTCCTTTAGAATATCTTTGTAGCGTTTTTGTTAAGCTGTTTGATTTCGTTTTCCCTCTTCCAGTTAACTGTAGAGAATCTGTCGTGAAAGATGTGTTTCGGGCATGCGAACGAGGTAACCTGTCCAGCGAAGTTGGTGCCTAATGATGAGGGCTTCCATGCTAGTTGTTTTGGCCTCTTCTGAAATAGTAATGTTTGTTCTTCGGTCTTGCCATTTAATCCGTAGGATTTTTTTCAGGCATCGCTGGTGGTATTTTTCTAGGCTTTTTATGTGTCTGCTGTAGCTGGGGCCCAATTCTTGGATATTCTCGCACACGCAATTTGATTCGAATTGGAATGACAGCAACGTGAATTGAATAGGAAACATTCGAAATCATATCAAATCTCGTATGCGAGATTATTCGAGAATTGGGCCCTGGTCCATGTTTCGCAGCCATATGTGAGTTTTGGTATCACCACCGCATTGTAGACGCGAAGTTCTGTCTCAGGGCTGATATGATTGTTGAAGACTCTCTCTAGAAGTCGTTCGAACGCCGCGCTAGCACACTTCAAGCGATGATGGATTTCAGCGTCAATGGTGGCATTCGCTAACGGATGGCTCCCCAGGTATATGGGTAGTGTTCAACATTCTGCAAAGAATTTCAATTTAAGGTGTTTCACGACATCGAAACCGAGGTGTTCTAGGGTATTTCAAGGTCGATTAAAAAAAAAACACTCGGACACGTCATTTTTATATTCAAGGGGGAAACTTTTTGACCTTAATACTGGTATTTCGCACCCCCTGGGTTGGGTGACTTTCGCCCTTCTCTTTTAGATGGGGAAGAAGGGTCGAGTGGTACTTTAATTGTTTTAAAGGTATTTTGATTATCGTCACAAGTGCGTTCTTTTTTTTTTTTATTTCTTAAGATATTTACTGTCAAAGTTGCCATGGGCTGAATAAAAATCAATTTTCTGGTCCTGCTATTCTCAAATTAACCCTTTCCTGACTTTTTCAGAAGCAAACAAAAAATTATTACTTAGCCCGTGTCAACTTTGACAGTGAATATCTTGAGAACTAATCATTCGATTTTCAAACAAAAATACGCACTTGTAACGAGAATCAAAATATACCATTAAAACAATGTACAACTCGACCCATCTTCCCTATCTAAAAAAGAAGGGTGAAAATCACCCCACCCAGAGGCTTCACCCTAGCGAAATACCGATGGGGTCAAAAACTAAAAAGTTTTCCCATTGAGTACAAAAAAATACCATAAAACGCCTCTGTTTCGATGTTGGTGCAGAATCTGCGTCTTGTGGGCCTATGAAGGCCATGTAGGTATAGAGGGCGATTTTGTTACCTGGATCTTGCATTTGTCTTGCACTGAAAATCATGTCAGCTGTACCTCGGTTGGGTCACAAGTCACACTGGAAGATTCTCTTCGGCAGTTGGGATTAAAAGATTTGATAATATCCTGGCGAGTATCTTTCCCGCAACTGAAAGTAAAGATATTCCTCTGTAGTCTCCAACTTGAGCCTTGTCTCCCTTTTCAAAAATGGTAACTATGGAGGCATCTCTAAGTTCGGCAGGTACGGTCTCAGTGATCCATATTTTACTTATTAGGATGTGGGTTCGGGCACTTAGTGTGGGGCCTCCTTGTTTAAAGAATTCAGCAGGAATGCCGTCAGTACCAGCTGACTTATTGTTCTTTGGTCATTAGATGTCTATGTCATTATTTATTTGTGATTATCTGTAATTCCTGAAAGTGTTCCTTCCAACAAGAATTAATGGAAGAATTGTCTTAATCGTAAGGAATTGAGTCCTTGAGTAATTGGTCCATATACCATCTGAGTAGTCTGAAAGAAGGCCCTCCCAAGTAGCACAAATGTGCTTATTAGGATCATATACATTGCTATAAAACATCTTACTATATGTATAACTGCGATATTTCTTAGTTGGTTGTAAACGCTTATATGACGTCTATAAGTATGAAAAAGGCCCAGGTTTATAAAATATTATTATTGTTTTAAAGTTGTTTTAGGATCGCGAATAGCATTTACAAAATATTATGAAGTGCTTTATAAAATCGTTATGAAACAGTTTTATAAGAGGTTTATAAGTTAGGAGATAAATTCACCTATATAGCAATTGTGTCTTTTGTGAACCTTAGTATAAAACAGTTTTAAAAATATTATTTGGAAATTTTGTAGCTGTAGTTGAAATTACTAATAAAACATTTATAAAATAATGTTTTATAGCATACTTAAAACAGTTTAATAAAAATATTTTATCGTATTTTCATAATGCCGAATACAAAACTGATTTTTAAATGGTTGTCCAACCTTCTCTGCTTTTATGGATTACGAATATGGCGACATGTTGTTAGGGATGCATGGGTAAATCAGGAAAAATATATAGCCCACCTAAATACCGTTCAACCACTCAAATCTTACTGCGAAGCAAATTTTACTGATTAATTGGGGGTTATTTTTTGGAGATATTTTAACGCGCTTCAATTTTAACAAGGTTTTACAGTTACAAAAAATATTTGAATTTCACGAAAGTCTCCAATAATCATCCGTGAAGTTGAAAATCGACATTATGTCATGTCCTATGTCATTGTGAACTGATTTTATTATTTTAGTAACGACAATTTTCTAAATTATATTATTTTATTTAATTAATTTTGGATAAGACAAAATGGCCGACATAGGATCAAGTGAAATTAAACGTGAAAACATGGCGTCGACTAATATATAATTTTTATCGCCAAGAAAATATTTAATAAACAAATTTAATATTTATAAAACATATTTGATTTATAACGTGTTTTTGTTTTATAATGCAGTTCCATAAAACATTTGTATTTTATTATCTAAAATGACATAGCGTAAAACTATTATAATATTCCAGACATTGAAATGTTGCCGTCAAGAACAAACGTGTACCTTTATATATTTTCAATTTTGTATGGATGAAAATCAAAAGTTACTAGTAACTTTCGAACTTCATTTATAAAAAATCATACTTAAAACTCGTGGCCGACAGAATTGAATCAAAAAAGTTGGAATTTAAAATTGGAAGAAAATAGTCATAAGTACTTGATTAGAGTTTTTGGCCACACCGTAGCAATTCCAACAAGTTTTTAATTGAATTATATTAAATAGGTAGGTATATAGATTATACCTTCTCTGTATTTTAATTTTTAGTTCACTGTGGTTTACCAGCAGGGTTACAGTACCTACCTAATATAGACTATAAACAGTAACTTGTAACGGTTCATGTGTTTGCGTATTTGTCTAGGGCATTCGATCATAATCAACTCTTAATAATTTTTATTGAATTTCAAATAAATATTCTGGATACTTGAAGATAATATATTCAGTTTGACAACGTCGCATCAACTGTTCTGAATCATGTATATTTGTTTTCAGATCATGGTGCTAGGTGGCGTGGATGTCGGTATATCTGAAGTAATTGCGATAATAATAAAACCCTTATAAAATACTATTGTTATATAGCCTTCAGAAAAATTGCTTAAATAACAATATTATTATAAAGTTTATCTGACTGTATCAGTTTTACGATACTTTTATCGTAGAATACATTTATAAGAAAATTAGAAATTGGACACCTTATTACTATTCTATGTTATGTTACGTTATTATAATCTAAACGTCCTTAATACAGATATATGTTGGTTAAATGACACCAAATCAGATCTTTAGAAATTAGCCTGTACCTCTTTCCTGAAATTGCCACTTCTTCTTAATATTATCCAGCAAGAAATGCTTGACATATTGATAATTAGCAATAGGTAACTATATCAATTATCATGTCAAAATTTTTCTGCAGCGTAGGTAGATAAACTAAATTTTAGGTTAGTGCTATAACATTTTTATAAGGTTACCCTAATAATAATTTTGTATTTTGTGAGACACTTCTGTTATTTAACCCTTTTTTAAGTGCTTTATTCAATTTTGTTCCACAACAATTATAAAATAGTTTTATAAGAGTATTGAACGGAACTAAATTATTGCTAAGAATGAACTGTTTTATAAATTATTCTCCATAAATACTATAAAATCTTATGATGAAGCCGTAATAAATCAAAATGCATTCTTTTATAAGTGATATATATCTGTTTGTGAATATTGCTATAAAGCAACTACAAAATATATCTATCTCAAACAAAAACAGTTTTATAAGTCTTGTCATATAAATATTTATGAGCAAGTTAATTACCAAACTTATAAAATTGTTATTTAAATTAATCTTGAAAATATCTATATAGCAAAATAACAAAATAAATTTGTTTTCATGATACATTTGTATCTATTGAGTCTCTTAAAAATCAGTTTTGTTACTTCAAATGCTCTAATAAATCGAATATAAAGCACTTCAGTCTAATAACACTATTTCTGTGCTACTTGGGTGGTGCTACTGGATTCAGCTAGTTGCTGCATTTCGCTTGATTTTGTT